GTGGAGGAGCGAGATGGTGGAGGAGAGAGATGGTGGTGGAGCGAGATGGTGGAGGAGAGAGGTGGTGGTGGAGCAAGATGGTGGAGGAGAGAGATTGTGGTGGAGCGAGATGGAGGAGGAGAGAGATGGTGGTGGAGCGAGATGGTGGAGGAGCCAGATGGAGGAGTATGATGGCAGAGGAGAGAGATGGTGGAGTGAGATGGTGGAGGAGTGAGATGGTGGAGGAGTGAGATGGTGGAGGAGAGAGATGGTGGAGGAGTGAGATGGTGGAGGAGTGAGATGGTGGAGGAGAGAGATGGTGGAGGAGTGAGATGGTGGAGGAGAGAGATGGCGGAGGAGCGAGATGGCGGAGGATTGAGATGGTGGTGGAGCGAGATGGAGGAGGAGAGAGATGGTGGAGGAGTGAGATGGTGGAGGGGAGAGATGGTAGAAGATTGAGATGGTGGTGGAGCGAGATGGTGGAGGAGAGAGATGGTGGAGGAGAGAGATGGCGGAGGAGAGAGAGGGCGGAGGAGAGAGATGGTGGAGGAGTGAGATGGTGGAGGAGAGAGATGGCAGAGGAGCGAGATGGTGGAGGATTGAGATGGTGGTGGAGCGAGATGGAGGAGGAGAGAGATGGTGGAGGAGTGAGATGGTGGAGGAGAGAGATGGTGGAGGAGTGAGATGGTGGAGGAGAGAGATGGTGGAGGAGTATGATGGTGGAGGAGAGAGATGGTGGAGGAGAGAGATGGCGGAGGAGAGAGATGGTGGAGGATTGAGATGGTGGAGGAGTGAGATGGTGGAGGAGTGAGATGGTGGAGGAGAGAGATGGTGGAGGAGAGAGATGGTGGAGGAGTGGGATGGCGGAGGAGAGAGATGGTGGAGGAGAGAGATGGTGGAGGAGTGAGATGGTGGAGGAGTGAGATGGTGGAGGAGAGAGATGGTGAAGGAGAGAGATGGTGGAGGAGTGAGATGGTGGAGGAGAGAGAAGGTGGAGGAGAGAGATGGTGGAGGAGTGAGATGGTGGAGGAGAGAGATGGTGGAGGAGAGAGATGGTGGAGGAGTGAGATGGTGGAGGAGTGAGATGGTGGAGGAGTGAGATGGTGGAGGAGTGAGATGGTAGAGGAGTGAGATGGTGGAGGAGTGAGATGGTGGAGGAGAGAGATGGTGGAGGAGAGAGATGGTGGAGGAGAGATGGTGGAGGAGAGAGATGGTGGAGGAGAGAGATGGTGGAGGAGTGAGATGATGCAGGAGAGAGATGGTGGAGGAGTGAGATGGTGGAGGAGTGAGATGGTGGAGGAGTGAGATGGTGGAGGAGAGAGATGGTGGAGAGAGATGGTGGAGGAGAGAGATGGTGGAGGAGTGAGATGATGCAGGAGAGAGATGGTGGAGGAGAGAGATGGTGGAGGAGAGAGATGGTGGAGGAGAGAGATGGTGGAGGAGTGAGATGGTGGAGGAGTGAGATGGAGTGAGATGGTGAAGGAGCGAGATGATGCAGGAGAGAGATGGTGGAGGAGTGAGATGGTGGAGGAGCGGTGCGCATCCATCTGCCGCACCCTCCTCCTCTCGCGGGATATATTTGGGAGCTCGATCACAAACCTCTGCCACTCTGGAATCGATGCTGGGCAGAATCGTCCGAGAATTCGCGGGGATCGATTCCCGGCGTGAGCCTCACGCACGTGCGTCCATCGCGACGTCGATCACGAGGACGACGACGTCGTCGAGTGATTGAGGAGTTGTATGGAGGCGCAGTGAGATGGAAGAGTGGGACCTGTCACGTAAGCGCCGCACAGCGGGGGCCGGCGAGGCGGAGGAGGAGGAGGCGGAGGCGGCGGCGGTGCCACCCAAGCGGCGGCGCGACGCGGGGTGGGCGGTACTCACGTGCCAAGGTGCGCGCGCGCCGCGTGTCGCGCGCGAGTGAATTTGAGAGCGGTGGCGCGGCGGTTAGCGCGCAGGCGCCACGAACCCCGGCCCGGCCATGAGTTCGATTCCCGCTCACGGTCAACAGCGGTCGTGGGTCCTCCCCCCGAGGTAGACTCGGCCTCAATGAGGGAGACAAAGGTGGCCGGGTGTGGTGCTGGCTACCCACCTGGTGTGCCGTGTTGGCCTTCATAGAGGCCCGCAAACAGCACTTGCCCCGACAGTCTGTTCAAGGCCACACGTGTGCGTGTGTGGCTCATGTCGACTTTATTCCTTGCACCACCCGGCTGGAATGGGTGTTTGAACATCTTAACAGCTGTTTTATTGCCATAAAGGGTCAAATCCTTTTCTTATGTTGCATTATTTCATACTGGAAAAAAGGTCTCATTAATTGTGAGTATTGTACCTTGAAATCTTTATTAATCCTGTCACTGTGAGACTGTCTTCCTCTAAGCCAAGTACACGGTGCAACTAAAATAATTTGTAGAGAGTTATAACCTACATATTATTGTATACCGATTAAAAACATCCAGTAGCTATCTCAGTAAGAGAGAAAGGAGTTCGGAGAAAGGAGGGGGCCCACAGTCGTATCTTGCATAGCCCCCCAGTTTAGATCGGGAGTTACGCCCCTGCACTCACATTTAATATAATTTACATTGCCATGTAACTTTATACATTCGCATGCAAATATTTTCTGCATTGAAGGTCTCACTATCGACCACATGGCAATGCACTGACCGTCCAATGGACACTGGTTGTCTGCAGATTACGTTTGCCAAAGTGCAGTCATTCCAGCCGGGTGGTGAGCGTCACAAGAGTGCTCGACTCACAATCAAGAGGTTACAAGTCCTAATCCCAGTCTGGTGGCAACTCATTCTATCCCTCATCCAAAAATAACAAAATTGAGTATCGCTTTGCAGCAAGTGATCAGTGGTTGTAATGTGGATGGGATGATCCCTGCCATATGAATGTGGAATTTCAATACCACCACACCCTCATTTGAGCATGGGAATTCTTTGACTCGTTCAAATTATTTGCACAGACAGCTGCAAATTTTAAGGACATGCACGTGTCTCAGTTGATCTGACAAACTGCAGTGAGGAAGCATGAGGACTTGAGTTTGAAAAGCTCTTGTCTTCAACCTGAGATGCTTCTGGACAAACCAGACATTGCTGGTGAGTGGGATATCTTTGATGAATTTGACAAAGCCGCTTGTGTAATGTCTGAAATGTAGACGAATCTAAGCAGGCATCAGCTCCAAGCCCGTGACAATAAGTGTGAGTGAGCACCAGCTGTTTGCTCCAGAATGGGGCTGGCATCTCATGTTGTTCAAGTTGGCTGGGGGCATGTGAGTGGGTGTGTGTCTGGGGTTGTGCTTCAGTCTTTGACCTTTATTCCTGGACGCGCACATCACCATTGTCAATTGATATCTCAACCTGTGTCTCCCATACGGATGACTCAACCTAAAATTAGTGTCTGGTGTGTAACCTTGAGCGGTGAGGACGCAGTGTCATGCTGGGGGTATTTATTTACTTACGTGATTATTAAAGGTTTTCTGGTGAGTACAATGCATAAACATGATGCTAAATAGTGGCGCAATAATATAATCAGTGGGTAGCAAAAGTTGAAGTAGAGTCATCAGACCTTTAATGAGCTGTTCCTTCTTTAATGTCTTACATTTCTGTTGTATGTATGTTATTTTGCACCTTACGTAGCCAATCATGCTTATTAGAGGTACGCAGCCAGCATCCTTTCCTGTTCTTTCAACGTAGCCATCCCAAATAGTATTTTCCTGGCCGTATCTCAGCTTTTTCGGGGTTTAAAAACGCATGCAAATGGAACCACCCTGGCAATATCTTAAGTCAAGCTATCCTGGACAAATTACCACACAAAATTTACACAATTGAGGGTGGAAACGATAGTTGGCATGTCGATAATAACCACGAAAACCTCGTATATTTGTACAAATCCAACTATTCATAAAAAAGGTTTTTGGGTTAGATCGCATTATTATGAATGTGTCGTAACCCTCTACCACCCGACACGGCCAAACAGTAAAAAAGTGTCACGTTGACAAAGACAAATAGTTCACTACTTTAGCCCACCGGTATGTTGAAGAGTGAATCCACAACATTTACAATTTTTGAGTACGATGTTTCGCTGGTAGTTACATCCAGGATCATCAGGCAATTCGCCAGAATGGTGAAGCCCTCACTTGCTGATGATGTCACCCTGCTGCTCTATTTAAGACCGGGAGCAAGTGAGGGTTTCACCATTCTGGCGAATTGCCCAATGATGCTGGATGTAATTACCAGCGAAACGTCGTACTCAAAAAATTGTAAATGTTGTGGATTCACCCTTACACACCGGTGGGCTAAAGTAGTGAACTATTTGTCTTTTGACGTGACACATTTTTTACTGTTTGGCCGTGTCGAGTGGTGGAGGGTTATGACACATTTATAAATAACACGATCTAACCCAAAAACCTTTATTGTGAATAATATTGGTCGCGAAAGCCTACGTGTTAAATCCAACTATACTGGACCCACAATGATTTTTCAGGCAGTAGTAGGATTTTAAAGCATTTAAATATCAAAAGAACACTCGGCTAGTTATATGTCAGCGAATGTTTTTCAAAAATCCTATTTGTCAAGGTTATAAAATGCATACATTGGTAGTGCTGTTAACTTTTTGTTTTATCAATTACAGCCTGGAAGCCACTACCGATGTACATATGCATCCTCCTACTCTGAGAATAATGTGAATAGATGAGGTGGGTATGTATGTAATACCTCCATATTGTGGTACAGCAATCGTTTGTGGTGGCCTAGTGGTGCACTCACTGCTCAATGAACCCAGCAACCCGAGTTAGATTTACAGCCACGACTAACATCAGTAGCAAGCCATATCTGAACCAGTCCTGGGCCCATCCCATCACCAACCCACACTGGCCCACATGGTGAATTATGGTCCAGAGACCGCAATGACCGACGTGGCATGGGGGAGGCCTTCCTCCAGCTGTGGAATTACAAAGGGGCCGTAGTTTATATATCTTTGCGTGCGTGTCCTTGCGTGCACGTTGCTGTGTGTGCGTGCGTTAGGATCGTGGGCCGACCGGAGCCTGCAGCATGAAGCTGCGAGCCAGGGACGTCTTCTCTCACTCAAAACGTACATCGCACAAGTAAGTAAGCGTGCAGATCCGCAAATAAATACACGAGAAAAAAACATAAGGAAACAACTTAAAACTACGCACGAAAGCATACGACCTGCACGATTGTGAATTTCAAAAGCCAATCACGGATAGTTTTAGACGCTGGTCTTATAAGGTGAAATATATATTTCATCTAAAGTTGACGTTCTCAGTCACTTGACACAATCATTATTCTCTGGCAAAGACTCGAATGCAGGGCGCCAGGATTGTAGCACAATGCGCCGACCACGAAACCACCACTGCTGGCATTACACTACCATCCCGCTCTATATAAACGCACACGTTTATACGCGTGCATGTACACACACCTACTGCGGTAATAATGTGCTATTTTTATGGTACGCTTCACATTGACGTGTCATTGGCAGGGCTGCAACGTGAATGCGTTGACGATAGACCAGGTGACTCCACTGCACGAGGCGTGTCTTGGGGGGCATGTGTCCTGTGCTCGAGCCCTCATCCAAGCGGGGGCCATGGTATTACACCCACGCACACACACACACATGGCACCATGCGCGCACACACACAGGCACCCACACACACACGGCATGCACAAACACGGCACCCATGCACACGGCACCCATGCACGCACACGGCACCCACGCACACACACGGCACCCATGCACACACACGGCACGCGCACACACACACGCACGGCACGCGCACACACACACGCACGGCACGCGCACACACACGGCCACCTGACACCGCTTTTGGCGGGAAAATCATAAACATGACGTGATATAAGTGACATTTCCTCTGACATCATACTTTAGAATCAAGTACTTTTTTCCCACGTCATTTGAACTTTCATATCTAGGTAGGATTTTCAGATTTTATTTTGCATGGATATGAAATTTGGGAATACATCCCTAAGACGGGGATATGTCAAGCGTGATGCACAGGTACATAGTGTACCAATACAATTTCTAGGTATGTCACAATTCATCGACTAAATTCATTGCGAGATGTGCATTGATCATCGAGTTTAAACGGTGATTTACTTTCCAACATATACACGTGAATGTACCTTTAGGCTAATATAATGGGAATGGCAGACAAACGAGGCAAACAATACAACTGAGACACATTGCAAACGAGATTCCCACGTCGAAGAAAAAAATAAGAATCTAAAAACGTATCAGAGAAGGTTTGAATATTTATGAGCGTCCACCTATGTGAGTACAGTAGAAAACCCTCTTAATGACGGTAATTGTTTACACGAAACCGGTCAAATGAATACCTTGTATGGTGTATAAGCATCACCACTGGGGAGACAAAGGCGGCCGGGCGTGGAGCTGGCCACCCACCCCCTCGTGTGCCATTCCGGCCTTTATAGGTGCTACTCGTGAACAGCACTTGTCCCAAGAAGTCTGCTTCAGGCCATACTGGGGGATCTTTGTCTTTTGTGGCCAGGTCAATGCTATGACGATAGACGGTGTGACCCCGCTGGTGAATGCGTGCGTGCGCGGGAGCCCTGCGTGCGTGAAGCTGCTCCTGGAGAGCGGCGCAACCCTCTACTGCGCCGCACACACCACCCCGCTGCACGAGGCGGCCGCTCGTGGTGGGTGCGCACCGCTCCCCGCACGCTGCACCGTCCCGTCAACTTGAACTCCCCTCTCTGCCCGTAGAACCATCCACTGGGCCCTTGTTGATTTTAATGGTTCTCTTGGTTAAATCTGCAAAAGACTGTTTTTCATCATCATCATCTTGATGCTGGTTTTAAAAGGGTCCCATAGATATAGCTGCTCAACCCAAGCTATTAATGCTTTGATGTTTGCATTGTCTTTGTGCTGTTCGACCTTTGGCATTCTTTGGTCTAAAACTGGTGCGAAAAGGCCATAAAAGAGGCTGTCTCTGGCGTAGGCCATTTCGTTTCAAGGACAATGCATATGTGATCAAAGCATGTTGTTTGCATGTTTAACCACACGTGCGTGGTGAATGCAGACTTGATGCCTTGTGATGGTTGTCTGTTTGGTGTTGGAACATCTTCACGCCTCCTGTAATCTTTCTTTATTCATCATATTGATGCTGGCAAAAGCAGCCTCCCATGGATACTTGATGTGCTTGTTGTCCCCAAAAGAGAAAATAACCAAAGCCTTAAAGCTCCTCATACGTCCTCTTTTAGATCCCCAGGTTTAATTTGGTGTGCGGAAACAAGGCATTATCGGTGGCTGCTGCCTCGTGGAATGCTATATCATCGCATTATATTTGGGAATTCAGTCATTGCTGATCATGAGAAACCTCCGTTCACTCCTGAAACTCAAGTTTATCAAATGATCGGCAGAGAGGCGTGAGCCGGGTCTGTATGTGATTGCTTTCTTAAATTATATATTTTTTCCCTGTTATTTTTGTTCCTAAAAAAATGTAATCCTGCTTTTTTGTGTACGTTTTCCACTGGTTCCCTATTCCTGTATCATGTGAAGTACGTACTGGTGCTTGCTCTTTGTACCTCGACCTATGTAGCCATGATTGTAACGAACACCTGTACTGTATAACATCTGCATTGTCGCAGGATGCCCTTGAAGGAGCCAAACACTCATTGGTCCCTTCCTGCTGAAATGAATAAAGTCAATCTACACTACACCCACGCCACCCCACCCTGCGTGCCGCACCGTCACATCGTCCTGCACACCACAGCCGACCACACCACGTGCACCATCACCACCCTGTGCCGCTCCATTCTACAGACCACACCCCGCATACCATGAAACCACACCATGATACATCGCATACACCGTCACACCATACTACACACAACATCTTGCTTACCATGAATCCACAACATACTATGCTCCTCACTCCGCACACCATGAAACCGCACCCGAATACATCAGTCACACCACCCCACCCTTGCACGCACAGTCACACCATCCCACATCACGCAACGCAGACTTCCATTGGTGACAAGCACAACCCGCACAACGCATGGCAGGAGTTTCACAGCTATGAAGAAAACGAGTTCCTCATCATATCTGTGAATTTGTTACAGTCTCAACATTTCCCCACACCTAGGATTAGCACGGTTGGCTATGTAAGATGCGAAAGAAATTCCACATACATTTCATAAGTGACTTTTAATTTCAAGAAAATTCTCCATGGCAACAGACTATTGCTCATGCCACACCAGCTGTCATTTTTAGCTGCATGGTGGAGACACCACCAAGAGTGCCAGTGCCCGACATAATGCCCCAAGGGGTGTCGTTGAGTGGCACAAACTTTCTGACAGGAGACGCAGGTGTTGTGGGTTTTCAGGGTAGGGTGTTTGGTGACCACATCGCACGTCTATTTCCCTCTTGCTGTGTTCTCGATGGGTCTTGCTTTGTTCCGGTTCTTGTTGTGTTGATCATCCTGTTGGCGGCCAGTGTCATCAGCTGCCCGGTCATCGTAAGCCTGCTCATCGCACTCTTTAACAGTCCTCCCACCGTCCCAAATTTAGATGCCATTTGCACACACAAATATCTCTAATTTAGGCCAATAAAGTGTCAGAAACTGCTGTTAGTGGGCACCTAATAAGCCAACATTGTACACAAAGGGATGGTGTTGCCAACTCAGCTGTTGTCGATTGCTCATACACAGCGCCAGATCCTCATCTTTACTGAGTTGACCTAGCTAAGACGAGATGAGATGTTGATAGCACGTGCCACCGACGTTGTACGTTGTCGCTAATAGACTAGCCCGCGTCATTGGGATGATGGTTCAGTACCGAAACCACTATACCACCATTCCCCCACTGCAATAGACCTCTCCAGTAACTCCACCCCCAATCCCCTACCCTCCTCTCATCCAGGTCACGTGGACGTGCTGGAGACACTGCTCGAGTTTGGGGCAAACATCGACGTGGAGCTGCCCCACACGGGGACGGCATTGTATGCAGCGAGCCTGCACGGCCGCGATGCCTGTGTGCGGGCTCTGTTACGTGCAGGTGCGGGAAAAAACGCACAGTTCTGTCTGTAAGGATTCACTTTTTTTTTACTCCTGAATACCGAAGCATCTTAAAGCATATTCTTTGGTTCTTTCGGTAAAGTCACGTAGAATGAGAATAAAATAATAAATTGATAAAAATAAAATAACGCAATAATATTCTCACGACGTTTCTGGCTCGGCTCGGCAAACTGCCAGCGGAAAACCACCGGTTACCGGTGAGGTTCCCATATCTAGGCACGGCTCGGATACGCCGATGGAAAAATGGGCATCTCGTCGTCCGTGTGCAGGCGCGGACGTCAACAAGGGGTGTTTCCGCACCACTCCGCTGCACGTGGCATCGCGCGCGATGCACGGCGGCACAATGGATGTGCACGGCAGGGTGCGCGCTGTGCTGGGCCTGCGCGGCCCGCTGGGCGCGTACGACGAGGGGGGCGGCAACGGCGCGCACGGCAGCGCCTACTGCACCGCGCACGGCCTGCGCCTGGTCGGGCTGCTCCTCGAGTTCGGGGCCGACGTCAACGTTCGGGACGCGGACGGCAAGCGGGCGGTGGATTACGCGCACCATGCACACCCCGAGTGCACGCTGCAACAGTTGCTGCAGTCGCACGAAGGTGCGTAGTGCTGCAGCACGCGCCGCCATCGGCATGTGTATGCCGAGGTGCGTTGTCATAATAATGAGACTGCCGGGGATTTAATCACGAATCGCAAAGTGCCTTTTGGCATTATCATATTATGTCAACTAATTATAAGCAGTAATTTAGGTAGAAGAGAGGTAATGCTCCTCAAACTGCACGGTGTCGGACGGATTCGGATGACATGAATATTTAATCCATGCTGGGATGGTGATGGTGTATGCGTCAAACCACTTATTCTATAAGCCATATTTTTTGAAGGTAGATAATTACCATCAATGTACCATTAGCATGATTTTAACATTTTTACCAAGGTTGTTTAATTTGTGGAACTGCCAACTGGGGAGGCATGGACGCATATATGCCAGATGAGCTTATATGCTGAGAAATAGATAAGCAAGGTCTCCTTCATATACGCATTCTGGAAGTGCCTAATTTCAGTGGCATTAATTTGGTACAAGCAAACTTTGGACCAGTTTCAACATAAGTGTCTCTTCAGCAACCAGGCTTTCTTGAATGGATGCTGGTGAAGTCCCAAGTGTTTGTAGGTAAGCACCCTCAAAGATAAGGAAGGCGTCTATACAATGAGTCACATCCTGGCCATTTTGATGTTCAGTCCAAAGAGCACTCGCTACCGACACGTGGTTTTCTAAATTGTTGTCTTTTTTCCATGTGCCTGTGCGTGCAGATCCCCAGTCTCTCACGCAGATATGCAGACTGGCGATACGAAAGAAGCTTGGTCGAGCGCGACTGCACATGATATCTTGTCTACCCCTGCCCAGAATCATCACCAACTACTTGCAGTACCGCTAGGCTTGTACGAACACTTGCGTGTGTTTGTACTTGCTGTTGCACTAAAAACATAAAAGTGTCTGCTTTAAAACGAGGCTAAATGTCACAAGCATGTACTTAATACTCACCCAGCTCACTTGCTTGTGCCAATTTGGCAGTGTTGCGTTGCGTCTTCAAAGTTAATGTGTGCATATGCCGAATCCACTGAGCGGATTGTGGCTGTCAGGTAGGGGAAGTTGCCAACACTGTTGACGTTGCAGAACATTACATGTGCAAGCTGTTGATTGTAATGTGGAGGCAATGTATAATATGAACCCGTCAGCATCTAACAAGTTACATGGATTTCATGGAATGGAAAACCTGAAAAAGGGTTTTTACCTCTTCAGGCAAAATCCCCAAAGGTTTACGGATGTAGACTGCACCTTGGTCATGGAAAGGTCACTTCCCAAAGCTCGTGCACTACACTAATTAGCAACTCGTTTTATTAACACGTAGGGTTTCGCAGACAGTGTTATGATTCATATATTTTTGTTATGCAGGCTACAATGATTTGGTGAAATCGTTAAGACCCTCCACCGAACTAACAGCCAAATTAATTGTCACGTGTACAATAATTTACCGCATAAATGGCTTTTGTTTCAGCTCACGGGTAAGTTAAAGAACAGTCCTCACAACCAAATAGCAATTAACTGTTTCATTTGAAACTCCACCAATCAGATCAAGATCAAGGAAGAGTGAACAACAATCAAGTAAGTCGTTTTGACTTGCCGATTCTGACTTCCTGGATTGCGGTGTGAAATGATAAACCTGTTTGCGAGGATTGTTTTTTCAACTTGCAGTGAGCTGAAACAATAGATGGCGCGTTAAACACTGGTACACGTGACACATTTTATGGCGGCGTCGGATGGTGGAGGATCTCAACGACATTTTGGTCGGATCATTACGTGGCCTAACCAAAAATAAATTATGAATCCGGTTTTCATTTTTGTACCTTTTCCAGCCATGTACAGAAATATGGACTTTGTTGCCGTTATTGACTTGTTTAAATTTGTATAATAAATATACCTATGTATAACTGACACGATTGTGAAGTCAATGCAACCAACTGTCGGAATGGCAAAGGATTAATCTTGCAGTGAATATAACGTGCAGCAGTGGTGCCTCATAGCTCCAAAACTAAACATTCGCTTTTCCTGTTTCTGGGGGCACCTCAATGTGTAGGACAGCGGGAAAATGGAGTTGTGAATGTGCAGCCCTAAAATTGCGAGCGAATGCCACTGCTGGCTGAAGGGTTGACACTTGAGCAAGCTCTGGAGAGCCCCTCTGGAACATAGTTCAGACTACTCTTTTCACGTGGTTTATAAAGTGATGGGAGTAGCCGCACTTTACCATAGCACACGAAACCTACTGATCGACTATGGTGTATCCATTTTTACTGCTGGGTGGACAGCGGCGGTGGGATTTAAGAAAACCCGATCTATTCAACTGTTGGACTGAGTGAAATAATTATCGAACCAGCAGCCGGTTCAGTGGGCTTGACATGATACCACGGCAACATCCCATGCAGTCGTAATTAAGTTATGTTATGCCCTTGCTTTGCAGAGTTTGTAGAACTGGCCTTTTAATACAATTTACTTTGCCAAAACTTGGCCAAGTCCATATGTATTGTTGTAAAATGTTGACTGCAATACACACATACTCTATCGTCTATATGGTGGTCTCGAGTAGCTATCATTTGCTCCTGGTCTGCCATCTCAGTCTTATACACCTTAGAATGGGTGGCAAAGACCTACCCAACAATCTTGTCATATTGGTATGCAACCGATACACCGTGCTAGAAAATGGGTTAGTCCTCTCCCTGCAATGTCCCCCTTGCAGGCAGGTTCTACTCAGTTAATCCAGTGTATTGCCAGTGGTGACCACACACTAGGGTGACATTACATGATTCTGCAGGCTACACAGAGCCCGTCGGAATCTCGTGGGCATGGATACGAGTGAATAAAACAAACAGCAACGGACAAGAACGTAAATGACGGCACATGAAGCGATCCTTGTGTGCCATCTCAACACTGCTTGTTCTCCGGCATGTTCTCTCCTTTGGCTGTCATGTCATTCTCGTCTATCAGCCAAAATAATGCAGCTTCAGCAAAGCCATTGTGAGAAACTTCCAGTGGATTGGTACAAGTTGGTTTTGAGGGCTATTTTCTGACTTTGGGAAACAATTTAAACAGAGCATGACTATGGAACGGCGAGCTAAGATTAGCTCCAGTTCAAACTATCTTTAGAAGTCTCCCAACTTGGGCAGTCTACAATTGGGGGGGCCACAGATTGTCTGGTCGTGGAAACAATGTAACATCCCAGGTTACTGAACATCGAACTTAAATTGCTTTGTTATACGTGAATGAATTTGTACTTATCAATCTGAGATGCATACATAAATTTTCCAACAGAGAGCCACTCAAAAATAAATATCTACGAATGTAAATACTTTCAAGGGGAATTAATTGACCAGGAAAATGAAATTACCCGTAGCAGAGCCAAGCCTTGTGGTGGCACACAGATGACAGGTGAGATGACATGGCTTGGGGTCCTTCACGGAGGGACTGGGGGCAGCAGGTGGTGCCTGATCAGGTATGTGCAATTTTTGTTTCTTCCAGTTTCAACTATCCTATTTTAGCCAATAAAGCCGACTGAGCTATTGGCTCTATTTCAGAGGCAACCAGGCCACACATGACAGCCCTTGGAAATAGCTTTTTACGTGGGAATTGATACCAAATAATCTAAACGCATGTTTACAAATCTGGAGGGCAAAACCAGAGCACCCGGAATAACAACCGCACGATCACGGTGAGAACGTGAGAACATTCATTATCAGGGTCAGAATCGAACCCACAACCTACTGCACACCAAGTGAGGGAGATAACATTTCACCACCATGATACCAACCTTCCTCACATACCCTGTGACCAATCTCTCACTCATTGACTCAATACATTTAATACAGAGACTAAATGTAATATGGTGTGTTTATTTATTATGCAACACATTTATCAACATTACACTTTAAATCATAAAGAACACCAATTTGTCAATTGTTTCCTTTATTTACAACTGGATAATAGACTTGTGTACAGGTGGCAAGAGTGGATCACTTTGTATAGTTAGCAAATTTTGGATTCAGGGCATAACAGCATGGGTCTACCAACTCGGCAAATATTCTTCTTTCATATGGCTGATGAAGATGCAGACCAACGACTACAATTTCACATTCAGGTGGTCAAGCCAGACAACTGCGTCACGAGTAGCGGAGTGTATCATCACCGCTGTGATGTCTCCTTCGTATTTGTGGATCAGGCATTGCGTTATACGTTACACGGTCTGTTCTGGATGACCACGAGTTTTTAATTTTCCATTTGCATCAGCTATCTGCAACTGTCATGGTTTGCACAGTAGATGCAGTTTACGGTGGACCATGAGCTTCGTGGGAGATGAAACTCAGGGATCCTGTGTTGGGTCTTTTACAAGGTGTTGTTTGAGACTTCTTTTGAATAACATTAAACTCTTACAAACAATTCCTTAAGAGCAAACATGACTGGTTTTGTAAAGCCACAATACCAGTGGCAATTGGCATACAAACTTGGCTTGGACTGCCCCCCTCTCCGATTAATAATATAATTTAGTTAAATTTTGACTTAAAACTTTCGTGACTGCAGGAATTAATATTCTATGGTTCTTTCGGTAGTCACGTATATATAAAAAATAAAATAATAAATATAAAGTAAATAAAAAAGAATATTCAGATGACGACCGCTTGTGTTGCAATCGAAACGTCGTGATATTTTTATTGTTATTATTTTCTCTTTCTACGTGACTTTACCGAAATAACCATAGAATATAATTTACAGTTCTTTGTCAATCCACTGCTGGATGAAGGCCTCCACATGCCATGTCAGTCATGGGAGCTGTTTAATCATACTTCACCATGCTGGTCAGCACAGGTTGAAGGCAGGTCAGGATCGGTGCAGATATCACTCACAAATTATGCTAGCTGTGGCTGAGAATCAAATGCAGGTCGTTAGGTTCATAGCCCAATGCACGAACCACTGCATCGCCGCGAGGATAACTCGGCCGAAGCCCATCCGAAAACGTATTTATACACTTTCATTTATACAACTTTGAGGTAATTCCGCAAATGGCTTTTAATATTTCTTTTACAATTCATAAGTTACTATCATGTGTGGTATCTGCTTTGTCTTGTACAGTGCTGAGATCTTTGATTCAAGGTGCTTTATAAATGAATAAACGAGTACCTGGTGCAGTGAGCACAGGGATGAAGTACCCATGGTGTGGGAGTGGTGCAACAAACCCAATCTTTTAGCATTCTGGCCCGTGTATTTGCCGTGAACAGCACCGTCTCTGCCAGCCTATGAAGCTAGATGTAGCCCGTCCATGCTCTTGTATTTGTGTGTGATCAAGACCACCAGAAGGACACAGAGAAGCTGTGGCTGAGTGAATTTACATAGTGCCAGTGCTTGCGAGGAATGAAGAGTGCATCTCCGGGGGACAGCACCACCTCCTGGAACGGGGCCTCGGTGAAGCGGGGAAACTGACACGTGTTGGGCCTAAGCACGTCCACCTAGGACATGACGACAGTAGGAGGGGGAGACAGATGATAGTAAACATTGACCATCACAATAGGCAATGTTCACAGTCTGTGGGTGATATACCACAACTCCTCGCTGTAACAAGCTTCCACCGTCAACATCGTCGACAGACAAAAGAGTGTGATGTGCCAGTGGTTGGTGTTTGTACCTGACTGGTATTGTTCAGCAGGTGTGATGGATGAGGGTACAGCTTGTCAGTGTGTTCTGGAGAGTAAAGGCGCACATACTTCTGTCCAAATACCTTTATACCCACATTAATGAACACGCACACATACATACGGTTAGGTAATTAAAGAAACAAAATGCCGTTCAGTTTTTGTAAAAAATATGTAAATATCTCCACTACCGATTTTTATGTTGAAAATCGAATCAACCTGTTAATTTGTGCCAAATATGCGTACACAGCAATGTAGTAGAGACAACACAACAAGGATGTACACATATTTTGTAAGGTCATGAAATAAGTCGGTGTCCCTGTTCCAGCAAGCAATGGAATCCCAGTTAACTATGTTGTTATATCCATTGTGTGTAATAAACTCACAACGTATCTATTGTGAGACAAATGGCTTCTCGCTTCTACCAATAGGAGGCAGCAGAGTGACACTCGGTACAGTGCACCGTGTGGCTAACGCAGAAAGTTGACAGCGAGTTCTAAAGTTGTTCTGTTTTTCCAGTCGCTCTGTTCTGTTAAGCTATATCATCTGGGTCTGACCCGTGACTTCTTGTCAGTCAGCTAATGCAAACTCCAGAAGATTCAAATGTGCAGTGAGCCAAGCATAAACGTTGTGACTACGTCACTGTCACTTAGTGGTGAATGAAGAATATTGTTGTGCCGAGGTCGGCATTGGTGCCTTGAGGATGTCACACAACCATTTGTGGTGTAGATGGTTGTTATTATAGCAATTCAAAGTGCCTCTGGGTGAGCACACACTTGTGTACCTGCACCAGAATGTTGTGCTGCGGGTCATGGTGTAAAGGGCTTTCCGTGCCGCCAGGGCCGAACCATGCATTGATCACGACCTCTTCGCTTCCCTCCTCTTCGTCCTCTCCTCCCTCTCGTTCTGACACGCAGCAGTAGTCCGGAATAACAATATCATTCCTAAGATCTGGGATCTGCACAAGAAATATTAATGTAATTAGCACCACCATTACACCCTTATAAACAAGCAGGTGTAACGACACAGAAGTCATAACATTTACTGGTACCACAACTGCAAACATCTGTGCACATTTGTGTACATCTGGGTAAGTGTTTATAAGTACGACATGAATCACAAAAAATGCGACATAAATGGAACACAAGCTGAAAAGTGCACAAATTAACATGGACAGGTACATGCCGAGAATTACTTTGATAGACAGGAAAAGGAACACACGAATTTGAGAACATACACAAGTTGGTGTCTAATTCACATGCTATAACTACTGAGGATTAAAACCACGGTTGTTAAATGCAGAGCTGATGTCCTGTCTGGTTTTCTTAAGCACATGCATGAACACTAAATATTATGCATATTTTTTTAAACACATGCTTTTATTAGGCAGAGTTCAGCACGTGTTCATGCTACAATCATTTTTCCTGATGAAGTCCTTTTCATTCAATTCCAATAATTTCATAGGAATTTCAAAAGTCCATTCTGAAAACATGTTTTGATCCTGGAATAGAATGGAATTCAAAAATACCCGCAACAAAACGTAATGGAACGTAACGATTTTATTTTAAACCATAACAAAATGCTTTTATTTATTGTTCCCCATACCTGTTGCAGACGCACATATCCAGTCAAGGGTATAAATACATACATATGGATGTCAGTATACAAGTGGGAACATGTACGTTCTTAAGTGTCCCACCTGATCAAACAGTTCATGTTGAGCCAGGTAACCCACTGTTGCTTGGGACTCCTGTGAAAAAATAAATATTATTCAATGCTGTCTTTCAGCAATTACTTTCACAACACTTGTTAATTTTGCAGATTCACTCAAATGGAATCTGGGAATAGTGCACCACCTATCAACACTGATACGAGGAGTTCCACTGTATTTAAAGGTTTACTGCATCATGTTTGCAAAACAGAGTACCAGGTACACAGGCAAACGGGCTCAAGACGGTAACAGTTACTATGGCGCATTGCTGTGGTGATTAGGTGATATGAAAGTGCCAATAAACCAATGACGAGGGAGTTCAGGGAAGGTCAGGGATTAGTGCCAGGTATGCCAATAACAGCAACTGTTCATGGAAGTAAGATCAAACATATATAATGTATTCGTGCAGGCATAACATAATTTGTGATGTAACGAACATGATATGAACATGGTTATGAAGAATGCAATAAACATAGATGATAATGGTTATAAATGACGTACACTTTGTAGAAGCGAATCGCGATGAATGAAAGGAGATGTAAATGTTCATGACTATGATGGTGGTGTAAATACTGGAGATTCCTCACGGTCGTAAATCATGATGTGCATTTGTACCGCATTAATGATGTACTTCTCCACAAACTCCTGCAGCGTCATGAGAGTCTGAGTCCAGTGAGCGTCCGTGTAGCGTGAGCCAAGCTCCACTGGAACAGTTCGGCAACCGGCCATGCGCACTAGGTAACCCAAGCTGCACACACATCAATCAACAAAGAACCCCATTTCGTCCTACAGAATGCAGGCCAAAGTGTAATTACATGTACTGCCTCTTTATCAATCCACTGCTGGATGAGGGCCTCTCCATGCCGTGCAGGTTAGGGGGGTTATTTGACCATACCCTTACCCTGATTGTTTGTGTGGGTTTGTGAAGATGGAGAGGATAGACATGGGAACATACATACAGTACAACAACTTATTTTCTGGACCACGCTCTACTGAATACAAAGTGGTACATATTAAAGTCAGAATGACTCATGATGGGGATCATGGAGCCAAATTCTTCACCACCAAAACCAACAATACTCCACCTTGGTCAGTCCTGAGTGTCCGTCAATGGAGCATTCACCACAGATGAAAAGGTAATGTACCACAGCATTAAGGTAATGATAGGGATTACAAATATATTCTGCTTCATCTTGGTGACAAGGGTTTGATTCACCGCAAATAGGGGGATTAAAAAGTTAATAGAATGCAGTATCAACTTGTAATGTAAACTCTTGGACTTCTGGCTTATTTTAAACCAACACCGTGGCTTATTATTTGCTGATATCCTTTGTTTACATGTTTTTTTCTGCTGTTAAAGGTACATTGAATGGGGCCATCAAGTAATTATCTATTTAAGTAAAATGGAGCATTGAGTAATAAAATGTTTGTGTAGTGAGGGTGCCACCACAAATTCGTTAACAAATGGTGGTTGTGTAAGCTCATGGTCCCCCTCATTATCCCGGAATAGGCAAATTAATTGATACGATAACAGCACTCACTCAACAGTCAGAGCCAAGCTACAAAATGTGAGAAAGATAGGTGAGCAGTGACCTCCACTTGGTGAGGGCAGGCCAGTGGGAGACTGTGTCCTGCAGAAGTACGGGCTGAGCGGGCAGCAAGTGCAGTCGACGGAATGTGTCAATGGATGGGCGCACGAGCTGCGGCACAGCCCGCTCAGGGGAGAGGCGGCACACCTAGACAAAGATACCCCGTGTAGCCTTAACAGACTGTTGGAGCAAGTGCTGTCAGCAAGCACCTATGAAGGCCGGCACGGGACACGGGGGGGGGGGGTGGCTAGCCAGCAACACGCCCGGCCGCCTTTATCTCCCAAGTGGCGATGTTTACACACCACACCAGGTACTCATTTGAAGCCGAGTTGACCTAGGGGAGGCCCAGGCCGGTACAGATAATCGTCACTGATGTCGGTCGTGTTGGCCGTGAGTGGGAATCGAATTCTGGTCGCCAGGTTCACACACACAAAGACAAATACCTCCCATTACCATTTAATATTGCTGATGTGGTCAGATTTCAAACGTAGCCTGTCTAGGCAGTTTCACAGTGCTCCAATGGTAACACTACTGGTGCCAATATTCATGCATCTGCACAAAATTCAGCAGGGTTTTAAAACTTAAAGCCACACTAATGTATGGTGAAAATAAATGTCCACAAAAGAAGACATCTCTCCATAAAACATAATTCACACGTCTTTCAAAACCAAGGTGGTAACATTCCCCAGGTGTACGTACCAAGTCTGGTGCACATGCAGGCCATAACAGAGCAGATTCTCGTGTACCATTCGGCAGACTCGGGTACTAGGGTGTGCGTGCTAAACTGAACACAAGTTACCACAAGTAGTGGTAACCCCTAACTGTCGTAGTTTGCGGTGTTTAAATTACTTGTCCCCTGAGCAGTCTGGCCTTTGACGCCTGTATATTTGGAGTTTGCATGTTTTCCCCGTGGTCGCGTGGATTTTTCTCCAGATCCTCCGGTTTTTGCATCCACATTTAGAAATATGGCCGATATACATTTCCACATGATAATCCACTTCGTTGAGCTATCATTTGTGGCCAGGTCGCTTCTGAAAAAGAGCTGTAAAGCTCAGTGTGCCTTGCCTGGTCAAATAAAATTAGTTTTAAAATTTTACAGCAGTCAATACTTTAAAGGCACATAACCAAGTGTGGCTACCTTTGCATCAGGGCGCTTGAGGTCACATGGCACATCGTCTAACTGGTCATGGGACCTCTTCAGTCCAGTGAGACGTTTTTGCAGCACAGCAACCAGTCGCATGAGGATGTTATCGAGAATCGCCGCTCCCATGATCAGACCAAGGTCACAAAACCGCACAGCCTCCTGGGAAGATAAACAAATGGAGCATGCAAAAAATGGCATTAACGTCCTATTGTAATGATTGCAGCAATGATGACTGCAATCATTATTATGATCTGGCAAGTTATCCTGCGAGCCTCGTTCACCGTTAAGGCCATTCCCCGACTGTCCTGTCCCTCCTATTTGGTCCCACCCCGTCACCACATTCATTATTTGGTGATGCCGCGTTGGTTGTAGCGCAAAAACAATGAAAAAACTCAACACGTTCGTCAACGCGTTTGGCTAATTTCGCTGACCTGCTGTCTCTCCTATGTTGGCTCCACCAGTTCCTTTCTCGACCCTGCTTCTTTCCCCATTGCACCCCCCCCCCCCCCCCCCGCTTGATCTGCACCGTTTTACGATCTGCGCTAGGGTTTTCTGGCCTATGTTGAAGGTTATACAATAGGTCCTACATAGTTCATCTTCAATACCCCAGGTTACTGGACTACTTTTGTCAAAATGAGGTCTCACTGGATCCTGTACAACAAAAAATACTCAAGATGATGCTGTAAAGGTGTGATAACCTTACAGAAATATGAAGCCTTTTATATGCTTACATAGATGATACATGTATGCTGGACATAGGCAACTTCATACCTACCCTGAGGTTCTCTTCTTTCCCAGCCTTGATCTCACACAGAGCCGCTACGAGGGCGCTCAGTGCATAGTAACGTCGCCACTCCACACTCACGTCGCGCCAGCACGCAGAGTTGAGGCCCTCCCACGCCACGTCCAGAGCTGCCTTTGACAATTCTGGCGCAGGAAACACATTGACAGGGCCTTGGTGGGTTGAGTATAATGGGTAACCCTGTCCCCTCCATCACTCACCATTGTCTCCTCACCCTGCTTCCTCAGCCTGTCCCCTCCATCACTCACCATTGTCTCCTCACCCTGCTTCCTCAGCCTGTCCCCTCCATCACTCACCATTGTCTCCTCACCCTGCTTCCTCAGCCAGTCCCCTCCATCATTCACCATTGTCTCCTCACCCTGCTTCCTCAGCCAGTCCCCTGCATCACTCACCATTGTCTCCTCACCCTGCTTCCTCAGCCTGTCCCCTCCATCACTCACCATTGTCTCCTCACCCTGCTTCCTCAGCCTGTCCCCTCCATCACTCACCATTGTCTCCTCACCCTGCTTCCTCAGCCAGTCCCCTCCATCACTCACCATTGTCTCCTCACCCTGTCCCCTCCATCACTCACCCTTGTCTCCTCACCCCTAACCATATTTCCTCACCCTGTTCCTTCACCCTTCACCACGTCTCCTCACCTTCCGCCCCCTGCCCCGTCTCACTGCTCACCCCGCGCCGTGTCTCCTCGCTGCGCCTCCACGGCTTCCCTCAGGAGCGCAACCACCGCGGCGGGAACCTCGCTGGGGCAGAAGCTCAGCGCCAGGCTCTCGGCGCCGCGCGGCAGAAGCGCCGCCACGTCGGGCGGCAGCCCCGCCGCGAGCATTCCTCTCCTCGCTGTTGACACTTTCTCTCCGCTCGTCGTCTCTTTTGATCGTTCCCGGTGAAAGTTCTCCCCTTCCCCACTACCCCCCCAGGTCCGTGGCGACCGCGCGCTGTCCTCGCTACCGCCAACGCCGCCGCCGCCACTTTACTTCGCAAACGCGGCGCTCAATAAAGTTTTAACTCGCCTCGGGTCACGTGACAGAAGGGAGGCTTGCCCATTGGCTCCACCGGGCGAGGGGGGCTTTTTCGCCCCCCCTCACCCCGTTGTCACTAAAGTTGCAGCGGGGAGGGGTCACGGGGTTCGGCGTCGCCCGCCACGTGACCACGACCAACCAATGGTGGAAAAGCACAGGCGGTTTCGACGTCCCGCGTGACGCGGTCAGCCAATAGACAGGCAGCGATCGTGACTATTATCCCACGTGACGCGGAGATCCGACGAATGGTCGATAAAGTTACTAGCGGTACGAGCTCGTGACTGATTGGCCTCGCGCGACTCGGCGCTCAACCAATCAGCGCGCAGCCTCTGGGAAAGGCGGCGCTTTTGATAAAGTTAACTGCTCCGGCGAAGGGCCATTGCCCGAAACGTCGCCAATTATGTTTTATTTTTTACATTTAGTGGCACAGTGTTGCCGACCAGCGTGTTGACATTCTTTTTTTTGCCGCCTTTGCACCACTGCAGGATCACGACACTTGAGAGCGTTGCATTTTTACCCTTGCGCGGGGCCGCTCAGCGATGGGGACGCGGGGTCGGCTCCACTCCGCCACCGCAGGGCCCCCTCGTAGCTCCCCTCGTCGCTCCTCGTAGCTCCCCTCGTCGCTCCTCGTAGCTCCCCTCGTCGCAGCTCCTCGTAGCTCCCCTAGGTACCCCCTCCTCCTTCCACTGCCCTCCCCAGGGCCGGCAGAGCGCAGGGGGTGCTGGGCGCGGCATGCGGACCCGACGGCGGCCACCGACAGCCGGCGAGGAGGCGTGCAGGAGCACGCGAGCACGGGACGATGGAGAGGAGGAGGCGAAGGGAGGAGGGGAGGAGACGGAGGTCGCGGCGGACGGGGCGCAGACCCCGCAGAGGACCCAGGGCTGCAGGCTGAGCCGGCACAGGCGCGGGGAGGCGAGGAGCGCAGCCTCGCAACTCGGGAGGATGGCGGCGGGTGAGGCCCGGGGAAGAGCTCAGGGTCGGTGACATGTAACCAAATGCTGGGATACACGTGCATTACTGTACAAGAGAATAACATGGGTGTAGACCAAGTTTCTAACAGGTGGTTGGATGTTAAAGCGGTTTCAAATCGGCGTGAAAGGCGCGTAGCTACAAAATAAAACGTCCCATTAAAACGCCTGGACGCCAATTGCTGTAACAGTAATAAACTGTTGTAATGAATGCATTTGTCGGTTATTACCTTGTGAGCTGAAACGTTGGAGTAAATGAGGATAGATTAAAAGAGGCTGTTAATGTTGCTGGGTGGCGGTTGAGTGGTCGGTGAGGGAGTGAAGGTGAGTTCAGTGGTGGTGGTTGATGATGGTGATGAGGGAACAGCGTAAAAGGGACAGGCAGGGTACAGAGCTGGGCCCCGAAAATCTTGACGTTTTGAATCCAAATATTACTTCAACTTTAGCGCATTTTGAAAGTGGCGCATGACGTCAGCGTCACGCGCGTGGCCTTCCACGAAACCACGATTTTTATTTATTTAACTATGTTGTCGTTGTATCGTCAAATCTTGTAACTAAACTTTTACACACTTCCCAATGTGGTATCGACTGCAAACTTGGTATGCTTATGTCATACTGATGACAATACTATATTCTATCATACAAAAAACACATTTTTTTACATTATTTTTTTATACGTTGTTTCGGCTTGGCTCTAATTGTCCACGCTCGACTGACGTTGGCTGTAGTTGGCCACGGGCCCCTTAAGTTGTGGCAAGCTTCAGGGCCACTTCCTAGAGTCCTACCATGACTAGTACGGTACATTTAATTCAAACGTGTTTAAAAACAGTTTTTTTAAGTTTACTAATTTTTAAAGCCTCGACTGGATTAAAGGAATGTCTCATACTTGTAATATATTTTTTTCTAATTTTAGTTGCGTATGTATGTTGCAATTATTTCGCACCGTGCGTAGCGAATCGTACAAATAATCCGAGGTACAGTTTTTTTGCTATACTTTCCAAAGTTAGCCGAGATGTAACGGCGTATTTGTATCTCATTTGAATAAATAGAAAGTAAATAGAAAGTGGTCCTTAATAAATAACGTCACGAAGCAGCAGGCCTTAAAGAGCCGAAGTTTGCCGACCCCTGGACTCGATGTGTTTTAATGGTTGGCGTAATGAGCGCACTGCAATCGGGCTGGAATGGCTGAGTGTGAGACAATGGTTATTCAAGCGAGTGTATGTTCACGCTTCCTCGTCAATGTGTTGTATTTTATTATTTCTCGCAGCGAACATAATGAGCACCAACGCACATGGCAGCGCTGTTCTGGAGTCTGGGCTGGCTGCTCACACCTCTGGGTGCAGTGAGTCTGAGCACGACATCTCCTGGAACCCACTGTCGCCCTCACAGGGACCCACAGGTGACGAGAACACAATAAGGGTTTTACACGACTCTACGGCATATGTCATATTTGTTGCTATTTCTTTTACGTTTGATTTCTACTAACATGTATTTCAGAAATGTATTTAACATGTCCTCAGTTATTGGCAATGTATTGTTATTATTCTTTGTTCTTTCGGTAAAGTCACGTAGAAGGGAAACAATAAAATAAAAAATATATAAAACAATAACATTTTTATTATTTTATTGTGACTTTACCGAAAGAACCAAGAATATGAATCCCTGCAGTCACGAAAGCTTTAAATCAAAATGTATTGTTAAATCAATATATTAGCATTAAATACATATCTAAGCATTACATATTACGTTTGTTTGTTGCACATTAAAATAACTGATAAACCATGTCCTCATTCTTACAAAAAAAAACTCCACTCTCATTAAATACTCTAGCTCAAGTGTGTGCGTCCTCGACTCAATCATCGAGTTGGCTGCACCCTTGTCCTGAGCTATCACTTTATTCAAACATCTCTTAACTACCTCTTACCTCGCCCACTGCACAATGTCCCCCTGCCCCCACAAATCCTTTGGGGCTGTCCATAAATGACGTCACGCACCTGGGGGGGGGGGGGCAGACATTTGTGACGATGTGTGACGAGGGGGGGTTAGAGAAATGTGACGTCACATCAAAATGCGCAACTTTAAATATATATAGACAACACGTTCTACTTAATTAAATAGACTTTTTAATAAATGTTTTCTCCTACATCAGAGTGCAGCGCCACATTAAATACGCACTACAATGACAATAATTTAAAGCGATTTTAAGCAAAACTGAGCTCTGTGACGTCATATTTGAGGGGGGGTCTGACTTTTTGTGACGCCGTGTGATGAAGGGGGGGCTCAAAAATCGTCCAAAATCACGTGACATCATTTATGGACGGCCCTTTTGCACTCTTTGTTGCTGATGATCCCAGGCACTGTATAGTTTGCACAGCCTTGCTTTAACTGTCCTCCCTTTCTGTGGCCTGACATACAGTGAGGGAAAAAAGTATTTGATCCCCTGATGATTTTGTATGTTTGCGCACTGACAAAGAAATGATCAGTCTATAATTTTAATGGTAGGTTTATTTGAACAGTGTGAGACAGAATAACAACAAAATCCAGAAAAAACACATGTCAAAAATGTTATAAATTGATTTGCATTTTAATGAGGGAAATAAGTATTTGACCCCCTCTCAATCAGAAAGATTTCTGGCTCCCAGGTGTCTTTGATAGAGGTGACGAGCTGAGATTAGGAGCACACTCTGAAAGGGAGTGCTCCTAATCTCAGCTTGTTACCTGTATAAAAGGCACCTGCCCACAGAAGCAACCAATCAATCAGATTCCAAACTCTCTATCATGACCAAGACCAAAGAGCTCTCCAAGGATGTCAGGGACAAGATTGTAGACCTACACAAGGCTGGACTGGGCTACAAGACCATTGTCAAGCAGCTTTGTGAGAAGGTGACAACAGTTGGTGCGATTATTCGCAAATGGAAGAAACACAAAAGAACTGTCAATCTCCCTCGGCCTGGGGCTCCATGCAAGATCTCACCTCGTGGAGTTGCAATGATCATGAGAACGGTGAGGAATCAGCCCTGAACTACACGGGAGGATCTTGTCAATGATCTCAAGGCAGCTGGGACCATAGTCACCAAGAAAACAATTGGTAACACACTACGCCGTGAAGGACTGAAATCCTGCAGCGCCCGCAAGGTCCCCCTGCTCAAGAAAGCACATATACATGCCCGTCTGAAGTTTGCCAATGAACATCTGAATGATTCAGAGGACAACTGGGTGAAAGTGTTGTGGTCAGATGAGACCAAAATGGAGCTCTTTGGCATCAACTCAACTCGCCGTGTTTGGAGGAGGAGGAATGCTGCCTGTGACCCCAAGAACACCATCCCCACCGTCAAACATGGAGGTGGAAACATGCTTTGGGGGTGTTTTTCTAAGGGGACAGGACAACTTCACTGCATGAAAGGGACGATGGACGGGGCCATGTCCTGTCAAATCTTGGGTGAGAACCTCCTTCCCTCAGCCAGGGCATTGAAAATGGGTCGTGGATGGGTATTCCAGCATGACAATGACCCAAAACACACAGCCAAGGAAACAAAGGAGTGGCTCAAGAAGAAGCACATTAAGGTCCTGGAGTGGCATAGCCAGTCTCCAGACCTTAATCCCATAGAAAATCTGTGGAGGGAGCTGAAGGTTCGAGTTGCCAAACGTCAGTCTCGAAACCTTATTGACTTGGAGAAGATCTGCAAAGAGGAGTGGGACAAAATCCCTCCTGAGATGTGTGCAAACCTGGTGGCCAACTACAAGAAACGTCTGACCTCTGTGATTGCCAACAAGGGTTTTGCCACCAAGTACTAAGTCATGTTTTGCAGAGGGGTCAAATACTTATTTCCCTCATTAAAATGCAAATCAATTCATAACATTTTTGACATGCGGTTTTCTGGATTTTGTTGTTGTTATTCTGTCTCTCACTGTTCAAATAAACCTGCCATTAAAATTATAGACTAATCATTTCTTTGTCAGTGGGCAAACGTACAAAATCAGCAGGGGATCAAATACTTTTTTCCCTCACTGTACATACCAGCCTGTTCACTTAATTCACAAAATGCAGGACTATTACAGCTCTCTCTGCTCAATGTTTTGATTCACGTAAACCTTTCCTATTTGGCTTCCATTCATTGCTGAATTACTGTGATCGTTACTCAGAATATTACGTAAATTAGTAGGATATGTGTTAAAGTAAGAGCGAAACGCTAAGTGTTTGCTTGATGCTTTGTGTAATCATTTCAAATGTGCTTTTGATGGTGCCTATAAAAAAGTGCCATTTAGTTTAAACACTCTTTTAGATGAGATTATTTTCCCATCTATTTGCTTTAAAGCCATCTGGAAAAAGAAATAATAAACTCGTGAGGTTGGTTCCATCATGCAGTACAATTGAATTGGTACGGTTTGTGTTATGGTTGGACTCTGTCTCATGCCTCCACGTTCTGTGTGTGCTGCAGCCGAGCGGAGGGGAGCCTGGCCAATTAAAACAAACCTGGCTGACATCATCAAGAAGCTCAAGCCTGTGGTAGGTGCACATTCGCATGAGATACTCCACAGGTTTGTCAGTGTACCACTCTTGTGTTGTGGGACATGCAGACCTCATCATTTCACACTAATGCTGCACCCCTTATCAAAATAGGACATCGAAAAGTGTTTGAAAAATCTGTTTTTATATAATGCATTTGCATGCACACAGGCATACAGATAAAGGTGCAGGAATCCCCCCGATATAAGTTGCATCATCATGCGTTGTTTCGCATATACGTTGCTGGTGAATGAGGGAACATTTCCTTACAAGTAGAATGCTTTGCATATTTGAAAAAAATGCGTGCGTAGCACGTGGAGGGCTCTCACCCCGCTACATGTGTACAGTGCAGTATTGCATCGCAAGATAGGTGGACTCGACAATGTGGAGGAGTCGGACAACATAGTGGAGTTGTTTGAGTCCCATGGTGAGGAGCTGATGTAGTTGGAACATCAATGAGCTGAGGATGAGGACGATATAACGATACCACCACCACTAATATTCGCTGGCATTCACTGCTACAAGGAGCTAGCTGTACCAGCAGAAGAAGAAATATGCTGTCCAGCTATCTTTGGAAAGACCTTTTTTAAACGTTTTGCAATTAAGCCATAACGTCTGGAAAATCGTCCAGAAGCGAGGCAGATTCCCCGCTAGTGAACATTCCCGTGGCTCCAGCTTCATCGTCAGATGAAAAGGTATTTGATCCTACCCCTTCATCTGTATAACTCTACCAATGCTCACCCCAAGAGGCCTTGATCAGTAGGCTCTTGAACCATCTCTGGTAAGTATAATCTAATTATTTGTATTTATTTTGAGTTAAAATGTATGTATGTTAATTTATAATCGTATACTTTTTGTACAGTTCATGATATGTTAGTCACGCATTGTTTTGTCCAGGAATATCGGCTAGGAACGCAAATCATGATTTTCACATTATATCTGTGAGAAATTAGAGTTCACTTTAAGTAATTTAGAGTTGAGTAGTATTTCTCAGGAACGAATCCCTTACGTATAATGGGAGATTCCTGTATAATGCGTCACTCCAATGGCAATTCTATGAATTAAAGGGTGTCCAAGAACATTTGATAACCCACAATGTAATTCTCCAGAAATGTGGTTTGTTGCGAGTAGGTGAATTAACCCTTTCACAATCCAAGACGTCTGCAAGTTGCAGGGTGGGTCCCATTCACCGCTAAATCTCTGAACGCGCTAGCGGTTAGCGTTAATTGTATGTAGGGAGGCTTGGCGCCGTTATTCTTATAGATATTGTACTGTACTCACCACAAAGAACTGTAGAAACACGACCACACTCAATGACAGATGGCGTCAAACTGTTCCACACGCCCTCCCGCTTGCCCTTTCCTTCCGATTACGTTCGGAATCGATTAGATTCCAGTGACGTAAACGTACAGAATCGGGAAAGGCTGAAGTGGTTAATATGTGGTGCTGATTTTGTGATTGTGTGTGTTGTGTGCAGGAAGAGCCCATGCCCAACAGCATGGGTTCCTTGGTGACCTTGTGGATGGAGGGGGAAGGCATTTCTCCGTCATCTAGTTCCTTCTCACCAGAGCCCATTAAGCATGAACACAGCACCCAGGGGTAACATTGGCCAGGCCAAGGCTCTAGATTTAAACACGGAGCCTTTTGCTTTTGAGTTCATGTGTGTGAGCTTTTGTATGTGCGCACGGTTGCTGAACATTTGTGAAAATTAGCTTCGTAGTTCATCAGATTTATCCAGGATAAATAAATATTCTGATTCACCGTGGGCAGCGGTCTTGAGGATGTTATTCCACTGCACTGCAATTATATTCGCCCTCATTAAAATTTTTTACTGTACGCTCAAGTGAAAATCGGTGGCTGGAGCTGATATAAACCTCTTTCAATTCACCTCTGTCAAAATACCCAGAGCCAGGTGTTGTTCACATGGTCTAACAATTTATTTGCATGCTCTGCCAGTCGTTGCGTGCCCCAATAATTTTTTTCCCCCAAAAGTGTTGAATGGCTGTGTGTGTGCTTCATTGTATATTGAGAAAATGAGGGCACAGTGCGGTATATTACTATCTGTATTACAGTCTGTACTGTATTGCAATCTCGGCAATCATAGTTAAATTAATAGCCAACACCAGGTATGGGCGTCTGCTAAGTTAACTCAATTTTAAATGAACACTTCTTGTGGTCAATCAGAGGAATAATGACAGCTGGTTGTGGTGCTGGCTTTATCCCCCCTCAAATGTGTACCAGCCGTAATAAAGGCTCACTAATAGTGACTGTGCTATAAGAGTCGACACGGCTCGATGGAGATACTTGCTCTTGATTTTTTTTTATTAAGCAGGAATAAAAGACGGAGGGTCGAGTGTCGGGAGCTGCGCCCTGAGGAGCTGGTGAGCATGGCGAAGGACATAGATCGTGCGTCCCGGGACGGCAACAACGCCTCGTCGACCGTGTGCTCGGAGCACGCCCGGTCCCCGCCTCAGCATGGCAATGCCACCACCCACGGAGGAGTGACGACCGCATTTGGAGCAGATCTGCCGCCGCAGGGCTCGCTCCACTCGGCGACGCGTCTAACTCACGCGGACATCCTGAGGGAACGCGTGGGCATTGCCAGACGCTCGGAGAACGGCCGCGACGATGACAGCACTCCCACGCGAATCCTCGGCACTCCCGTGTCCAGCCCCTTGGTGAACGTCTTGCTGCCTCACGAGCTGGAACCGTCGTCGGAGCCCATGTCCGAACACGCGTCCACCAACAGCGGCGACCGCCCCCGGCCATCACAGCTCACTTTCTATCCACCTTTGCAGAGCACGCCCAAAGCCAAAGGCTCAGGGTGGCAGTACGAGGCAGACTTGCACGCCCTTTTCGACGAGGATACGATTGACCCGTCGCATCCCCTCAGTGAAAGGGGTGCGGTGGGCACGGGTTTCCAAGATAAGCTCGCGACGGCGTCCTCTGCTCCGAGACTGGCCAAGAAAACGGCATGTCACAGTGTTCAAGGTCTGCGCTGCACATCTGAGGCAGCGCAAGTATTATTGGCTGGGGACCTGCCTTCTTGCGTCATCGACGCTCCGCCTGCTGGGGCGAGGGCAAGACCTTTGTGCTATGAACCCAGCGGTGCTGCTGACTGCGCACAGCGGAATAAGGAGGTTGGGAGTGCCAGGCCCACGAACGCGAATACAGGAGACACAGTGTTGGCGTTTGCCGAGGGCGCAGCAAGGGATGGTGGCACGGCGACCCCTGTGATTCCAGGGTCGAATCTATCCATGGAGAACGTGTTTGACGACTGGGAGGATGATGACTGGGTGCACGACAGTTCCTTCATTGCTGTTTCCAATCAATTGTCTGACCTCGTGACGAACTCTGAACGTGTGGATGCCACTGCCAACAGAACCTTAGTCGTGGATGAAATGCAGGACAACCAGGCGGCTCGATTGAAACCTGATTCTGTTGAAGCTACATCTTGCTTAATGAATGCCCCTATTAAGCAGAGTACAATGCCATCTGGGCATTCAGCATATTTTCCGAACGGTTTTAATACGGTCTCCCTAGAAAAACAGAATTCACTTCCCAGCATGCCACTGCAGAGCACGTCCTCAAGCATTGCGACAGGCATAGAGCGAGGGAGTGCAGACCAGTCTGGTCAAGGTCCGTGTGCCAGTGGATTTAGGCCAAACAGACCAATGCAGGCCGCAGTAAAAAGTTCGCATCCAGTGGTTGGTCAGAGGGGTGCAGCAATGAAAATATCTACGAAGCTCGAGTGCGCAGACTCTCTGGGCCCTGCTGTGGTTCAGATTAACCGTGAGTCTTTCAAGGCAACAGGCTCACGCCAAGAGAAGGGCGGAACTGCTTGCCGAGTTCTTGGCCCGAATCAGACCCTTGAAGCTAACCAGAGTGTCATCTCTATGCCTAATTATACATTTTCCACCAAACCTCAACCTAGTTCAAACTCTGTTAACCCTACCCATAATTTTGATCCTGCACACAGTTCCAAATTAAACCTTAATGTCCACCTTAACCTCAGTGCTACCTCAAATTGCAAATCCAATCTTAACCCAATCACTGATCCCAACCGAGTTAAACCCAATGCTGCAAGTACAGTCATCGGTGAGGATGAATGGGATGACCTCGGTAATATGGACGAGCTCCTGAGCAGGATCCGGGAGCCCGTTGACGGCATCTGGGACAAGCAATCAGACATTGACCCCGTGGACAATAAGGAGTGCGCACTTTCGGCAAGTTTGACTGCCCTGACTGCAGACCGCCCGCCTGGCAGGGCGGATGCGAAGCCGAGTGGCTCTGGTGCCTCCTGCGGTGTTGCAACAACAGCTGGGGCGGTCTGCTTTGAGGTATCGTCAGGCACATGTCCCACGAAGCAGCACAGCTTCAAGTTCGTCCGAACTAACAACAACTCGGCTGTTGAAAGGGCAAGTGACAACGATAGCCTTTCGCTATTGGCCCAGGGTGGCATGGGAACACGGAGCGCCGTGGGTGCATCCGGCTCTGCACTGACCATTCCACACACGGTGCATCTGAACACCGTCTTGCCCAGCCACATCAAGTCCAGAAATACGCTGCTGCAGGCTCGGGCGGCAGGAGAGAGCGAAAAGGCGAGCGTGCTCGTGCCGTTATCGAGCGTCCTACCAGCCGGCGCCCAGACGTTTGTGTCGAAACCAGTGGCTTCAGTGGTGCCGCCCACTCGCAGACTCACCGTGCCCGAGGCAGCAGCTGCGCGTCCAGGGCCACCGAGGATCGGCGATTTCCAGGGGAGGAGCGGTGGGGCCACCGGCGTGCCCCCAGGTGCTCCGGGTTGCCCCCTGAACCGCAGCCGCTCGGCATTTGATATCCTGTCAACGAATTCGAAGCCTGTCTTGCGGAGACACTACACGGACACGACGGTGGCCTTCACAGGTATGTAAGGGCCTTTGGTCCGCACTGAAGCAATGTCTTAAGTGCAGTGGGATATCCACAAGCATACGTTTGAATTCTGAAAAGCACAAAGCATTACGGTGTGGAATGTATGAAGATACACACAAGCATAGCATACCATGTGGTTTACTACTGTAGGGTACCTTGTCATAAGGAATGTTAAACATTGTATCGTGGTTGATTTCAAGCTTTCGTGACTGCAGGAATTACTTAAATAAATTATTTAATTTATTTTCTTTCTACGTGAGTTTACCGAAAGAACCAAAGAGTATTGTATCGTCTTGATTAGTTGGGTCGTGTAACCATAGGGTAGACAGTTCATTTTGTTAAACAGTCACATGTCTTCTAACTCTTTAATTGAATAGGTTTAATCCAAGGGAAATGTTTACTTCAGATTTATATAACTGGCCAACTTGAGTACTCAACTTACACACAGGACACTGCGATACACATAAGCATAGATTCTGGAGTACACTGGAGTGTACAGATAGCGTGTCAATTACACTAATCTGCACACAGTCATAGGCTTTAAAGTACAGTATAACAATCATTAATTACAGTGCTGGTGATGTTACTGTGGTCTCCGTGCCAGGCTTGGTTAACAAGAATCTGTGTTAACCGTACCCCTAATGCAGACACTTTCCGTGCGCGAATTTCAGGAGGCCCGAAGCAATGCGGCCCTGAAGAGATTGAGCGCAAGAGGCAAGAGGCGCTGGATCGGCGTAGGCAGAGTGCTAGCCAGCAGTATGCCACCCAGCGCGCAACAAGGCCACCCATTAAGCTGCGTGAATCTCAGACAAACACGAAAACCTGAAAGCTGTGGATGTGACCTACAGTTTGACACTGATGATGTTTCATCCGGCTGAATAGAGCAGCACTTGTCTGCTCTTGCACTTGTGTCTTTCTGCTCCACGCACAGCAGCCATTTGTTTCCTCTGCCCTGTTGCTCTCCTCCCTGCAGTCCGCTGCACATCTGTGTACTTTAATACATTGAATGTGTAAGCTTTCCTTGATCTGAGCCAGCAGTCCTTTGGCTGCTGGTTCCCCTGAACTAAACCAATGAGTGCTGATGCACGCTGGAACGGGGTGAGACATCATAGGTGGACCCCTTTTTTAGTGCATTGCCTAATACACCACTAAAGTGGTCCCTGGAAATATCAGTCATCCTACTCAGCGTTGATGTTCAGAAAATGCTTTGTTAACCCCATGAAAATGCAACATGTTCCTAAGAATCTCTTAAGAATATCCTTATTGACATATCATGTGCCTTGATAAATGAATATACAGAATCGTTCAATTGTACACTGTCACATTAAGGGACGATGCCGAAATTGTTGTACCATGCTTTCGATAGGTCAAAGAAAATTCAACTCATTCTGAAGAATCTTTTAAAAATCACTTTGTTGACAGATCCTATGCCTTGATATGTGAATATACAGGCAGTTGAAGTGTTACCTTTTCACCTTAAAGGAAAATGCCACCCATGCAACGGGATGCTCTTGATTACACTTTCAAAAACATCGATCCACAACACCGTGGCAATGGAATGCATAATGGGAATGTATCTGTCAGGCCCTGGTCCGAGGCACCAGGATGGTGTGCTACCATATGGAGCACCCCTTCCATGGTATACCACGCATCGTTGCTTAGCCGTGCCTTTGTGGTGGGATTCCAGTGTGGCTGACATTAAGAAATGGTGGAATGACCATGCTGCTACTTTAATTTGACAGTTTGTGCCATTTTTTTAATGAAGAGAATTTCTAAATTGTGTTGGATCGCCTGTAATGAACTGCCTATGTGTGTGTGAAAGAATAGCTCAGCTGCTTAAATGTTAATTTTCTAATTGGTTGCAGAGCCACATTCTTGACAACAGTGGTGTTCTGGTACTTCTCTTGATTCTGGTTCAACATTTAAGGTCATGCCAGACAGCTGCATTTGCGGCCAAGATCATTTTGAATGATATCGTTTTTCTATTTGGTATCTTGGCAAAATTCCTCCCTTCACTTGGAGCTCGGCCACCATTGGCCAGGCTTGAGAATAGCAATAGACTTTTACACATTAGGCTGCACGTCTAATTTACGTCAAAATATTGGTTAAGTGGCGGTGCAGTGTTGTGCGTTTTAGCCTGTTTTGGCTTCATGAGCGATACAGACTGGGCCCTACTGGCTTACATGCGTATATATTACAATACTAAATTATTTTCTTTTGTGCTCCGTTGCAGTCACATTTGGCATATTCTCCAGGATTCTATGAATGATGTAGAGCCTTGCTGCATATGAAGTTTTTGCTAAAGCATGAGCATGGCTAACATTTCCCCCCTGATAATTATTTGAAACGTTAATAACATTTAACTCAATCAGGACTGACAACTAACTGCAGCTAGTATTCTTTTCATATTTCTGTTCTGAATAATGGAGGTTCAAAACATTTTAAAGTAATACATATGTACTTTTTACACTAGCTTGTTTATTCAGAACGTGATGTAAACATAGCCATGCATTGCATCATAAAGGAAAGTGGATCCGGCTTGGCTTTCGTATTTAGTCAATCCTTCAACGATAAATAGCATACGTGGTGATGTGGTAATGTAAAGGTTCAGCCCTGTAACGTTTTGCTTTCGACACTGCCAGCAGAAGGGCCTCCTCTAGAGGGAGCTCTCGAGTGCCCCTCTGGAGAACACGTGACCTATTCTCCACACTGGCCAAGATGTTAATGAATTGGCAGGACTCGCACTTTACCCCATGCTGCCTGCCAATCGACTTGCTGGGTGGGGGTGGGTGGGGGACCACTGCAGGTCCCAGCTTGTGGTAGCCCAGCACAAAATGTGTTTGGCACCCAAGTGAGTCGTACAGAATATTTTCTTAAGACCTGTTTCATATGTTTGTTCATGTTTTACTCTTCAATGTCAGTGACAAACGCACTGGGTTTGATGTGTTGGGCAAGTTTGTATGCTCAAGCGAATTGTAAATAAAGTGTTACATGTTTACGGACTTGTTTCTTATTTCCCCATTGTGTCAAACTATCAAGGTTGGAGGTCATCACAGCCAATGCAGTTGATGCCACCAGACCTTGCCGTGGCTTTCCTCAGCCCAGCCCAGCTGTTTTCTTTTAACCGAGATAGGTAGACATGTTTTTATTTTGTGCCAAATGAGACTATTGCAATTCCTAATCGTTGCAGTCTAAATGCTTGATAATCTAGACAATCTTCAGCCAGGGCATACGGCTGTGTAATAACTGATTAATCACAACCGGTCAAAATACACATTGTCAAGACTGTATAAAGAACAACCATTTATACATGCTTGTAAATGCAGCAATAAAAAAGTATTACATCACGGTGTCCAATGTATTACACACATCAACAGTAAATGTATGTTCAGTAGTATATATAATATTGTTTAGGTTTGCATTTGGTAAATGCATAAAAAACAAGCCTTGTGAACCAGATGGAGACCACGTAAAACAACTCGCTCTGCGTTCCCTCGGAGAGAACACCATTTAGCCAGGTTGGAACCATTTCAAACGATCAGATTTTCAAAGCAGATCTGAATATGGCATCATGGAGGAGTTAATGTAATGAACAATATACAGAGAACTGTATCGATTGATACAGCGTACCGTATTTGGCTAATCACCAGGAAAACCTTGTTGCGTTACCAGCAGCGGCAATCGATCCTGGGCCCTACGCACGCTAAGTGGTGGGCGCATTGACCCTGAGGCTACACAGCCACCTGCGTGAATTTGGTGATGGTCGACTTGGCGAAGATTCAGGTTTGCCAAGTCAATGCGGTCTGGGGGGGGATTCCTCGCGCTCTCAATGTTGAACCGTCGAAGGCATGGATCGCAGTTTGCTCTGACAATGTTGGCATATCACGAGTCGACATGTATGCACAAATGCGTACCTCACCACTTAAAAAAGTATTACAGTATATAGATAGGAAAACATATACGTAGGTTATATAGATTTAATTTACAACATGCTAGTCAATAGGACAGAACCGATCTCTGGGAAGGGATCCCTGAATGTATTGGCCGTACACCGGTGGTGCACCGTATAACAATTTTTTTCTAACGCAGTACTAAATTATTTTCCCCGCAATTCGCATCCCCGGTCAGAACATCTTGCGGGGTGAGCGTCAAACTAAGGTCTCGTGATGTCGAAGCAGTCTGAAGACGAACGTCAGTTCAAATTTTGATTTGAGACCGTTTTATGAGGACCGGTGTGGTATGCTGCACCGGTACACCGGTGCACCGCCAATACGTCTCTATGCATTGAGAGCAGTGGTTCCCAACCAGTGGTCCTCAGGCCCACTGGTGGTTCACCGAACAATGGGAATTGGTTTTCTGAACTGTTGCAGATTTAATCTTTTTTTCACAACGCACCAGATTTGTCTTAATACTCTATGAAGGTCTGCGACAATTAGTTTGAGGGTTGACAATCATCCAAGGGGTCCAGAGAGCTTGGGAACCACTGGTTTACGTCTGTGTGTAAACCATGACCCATCCGTGGGTTACGTCCACCACAAAGACCTCTCGGGCGATGAGACATTTACAGCAGCCAATGTGAGGTTGTACGGGGCACAGATCAACTCGGGAGACGCAGGATTCGTCACGGACCCGGCGGGGTTTCCGGGATTGTCTCACAATGGCGTGAGACCAGGAGAGGAGTGATTTTGCTGTGGCATTAACAAGTGTAGATTCTCAAGTCTGTTAAATGCTCAGGAATCAGAAGTGCCGCCAGTTAGTGCGTGACTCGTGTGCTGAATGCAAGCGACGTGAGAAGTACAGTATATGGTTTTGAATATTAGCTGGTGCAGGAAAGCCTTCCTGACTTTTAACATTGACAAAGTGCTACACTATTTGTCTGGGAAGATATTTCATGAACATCGTTACTATATGGTCGTCAAGAAATGCAAACCAGCAACCAACCTATCATGGAAAAACATCGCTTCGTTGTCAAGGTCTGGGAATTGCAATGACGTCCACGAGGGACTAAATCGTTGGTGGTGAACATATTGTCGTGCCATGAAGGCCAAGCCTTAATGTAATGAGAGCAATGTGTGCGTTAAACGTGCGACGTGAGACCTGACAACCCTGAAACTATGGGATCTTTAGCCCTGTTTAGATACAGTATCAACTACAAAACAAGCGTTCCCTACACATTAAAGAGAACCCACAATGCAGTGGACCAAATTTTATGAAGGAAAAGTGTAAACGGGCAGCTACGGCACCGTAATTTTGCCACTGCTGCATTTCGGCGAATGTTGGCAAAAGCAGCAAGCACCTGGCACCTGGTGTTGGCGAGGTGTGGGGGGGCATCTCACCTGGAGATATTTTCAGGGAAAGCCTGAGTATGCTTTAGCTTCAATATACCAATGTATGTACAATTTTAATACCTGCGAATGCTTTTTATTTCTACCATCGTAAAAATACATACGAGGGGAATCTAGATTTGAAGTTTTCGTGACTGCAGGGATACATACTGTTTTATTCTTTCGGTAGTCACGTAGGTATAAAATAAAATAAATTAAATCACGACGTTTCGGGCGCAACACAAGCATCCGTCATCAGGTGGGACAACCACAGCAAGAAACAATTGCAATTCTTGCTGTGGTTGTCCCACCTGATGACGGACACTTGTGTTGCGCCCGAAACGTCGTGATTTAATTTATTTTATTTTATACCTTAGTGACTTTACCGAAAGAACCAAAAAGTACATACGATGGGGATTGGTTTGAAATCACTGAAAGAAAATGATGCAAACTCTAATATCTGACATTCATGGTTTAACATGAGACTTTGTTTTGACGGAGATTCAGTTAAGTTAGTTAAAATTGATCGGGTATTGCCTTTTTTGAACAAAGGCCACTGGGAATTGTTTTTATATTTTGGAGTCTTTGCAGTCGGGTTATCGTCTATGGATTTAACAAGATATAGACAAAGATGGCGTATGAAAGCATTGTACCTCAGTCATATTTACAAGCAAATATGTGTTTGGGACAACAGCATAAAATCACGCAAGCTATTGAAAGCATTACAAATACTTTAAATGGAGCTGAGGAGACATAAGATAATATGTACTGTCCATTTTAATTATTTATCCATGGGAAGCCTACTTTCCAGGATTTAATTAATTTCCTTGCAGTGACTTAACTAAAGCCCCTTGATTCATTATGTACAATATGGTAACACTGTTAGCTGCACTGTGGTCATTTAGAGAGGCTGTGGCAGGCTGCAAGTCCCAGCCTAAGGCCTTCTTCTGACCAGCCATTTACCACATTTATGCTTCGAGGTAAAAACTCTACACCTGAGTACTAAATTCATAGATACACCATAAGTGGTGGAAACACGTGGTTTACAACCTTTAGTACAGGCTTAGACATTCGAAGAAAAAATAAGAAAGAGCCAATTACATTGGTCCCATTTCAATCACAATACAGTAGTCGCAATTCACAGTAGACATTTAACATTCACTGTGTCCCCCCCCCCCCCCCCACCTATTAGTATAAATGCACGAGATTTTTATGAGCAAATAATAATCAGAAATCGGAAATAATCGAGTTTTGCACAATCTGATGCATGGCTATTGAGTGTAAAAACTTCAATTGTATCAATAAATCATTGCACATGCCTGATGCACAGTTATTAAAAGGCAATCGCAAATTCAACTAATCCACTTTTATAATACGTAGGTCAATTTTGCACGACCTTTAGATCACAGATCCAATCATACACGGCGCCTGTTTGGAGGATTGTTATTCAATCGGTCACCAAATTACTGACTCCTAAAGACTGCAGAAGTGCAGTAATGTAAACTCATTTGATAATTGGTATTTTTAAAGTAACATAATCTAATTACACGTTTACCTTAATGATCAATTTATACAAATTAATAAAGTATGAGGTGTATTTATCCTCAGAATCTTTATTTATCCTGGAGAAATCCGATGAGCTGTGAAGCTCTTTTTCACAGACGTGGGATATAACACCATCACGTGGTATTATGGTCGTGGCCTTCATTCATTGATTGTTGCTGTTCTTGTAATGGACATATTTTGCTTAGATAAACACTACCCCTTTTAGTTTTTGAGCATTGAAATTAATAAAATAAAATCAATTGAATTAGCTGAACATAGTTGGCCTGAGAATGGATGGGCGTTCTTCACAGCTTCTCGCCAGGCTGCGGGGCCAGGTCCACGTAGCCCTCTGCATTGAAGGCAGCCATATTGACATAGTCCTGAATTGAACACAAATACGAACACACACATCAATACATTACACAAAGATGCACGTCGCACATATTAATCTGCAATTACACATTGATGTTGCATACATCACACGCATTACTGTATGCACAAATAAACGCATTACCTAAGTACACAATTATAAAAACTTAGCTTCTCTCTGTAGCCATTCAAACTTGAGGCAAGTGCTTTGTAGAAAGCACCTGTGGAGGCCAGCATGGTACAAGAGAGGGTGAGTGGCCAGCAGCATTCCTGGCCACCTTCGTCTCCCCAGTGCTGATATTTACACACTGTACCCGGTACTAATTTTAAGGTTGAGTTGACCGAGGGGAGTCTCAGGACCAGTTCAAGTATCACTCGCTATCCAAGGTCCGGGATCACAATGCACGAACCACAGTACCACCCCTCGTCACATAATCACGTACGCGATAAAGTTAACAAGGTGTGGCAAGGCCGTAATTATAATATATATTGGGGGGGGGGGGGGGGGACACATCCCAATATTCAAATATGTTCAAAATGTACCCCCCCCCCAATATATTGCTATTAAAAAATAATTGCTATGCAATGGAAATACAGTAAAAACAACAATTTGCTATAACTTGGCCACAATATCTTTACATGATTGTGGTTATGGTTGTACTTTATTTATCCCTAATTTCTGCCATTACATACAATGAAACAAGAAATGGTAAAAGAGTAAAAACAGAGCAATGTAATACAATACATTATTCAACATTTTGGTAAAAAAAAAAGTTCACCCCATGTGTTGGTGAATTTTTTTATATTTTAGGCAGGAAATGAGTTTTCAAATTTACATATTTCTCTGGGTTGGAACCCCCAGACACTCTGGAAGATTTGGTCCCCCCCCCCAATGTTGACTCCATGGCTACGGCCTTGAGGTGTGGTGTGCTAGCCTGCACGTAACATCCTCTGTTATTGTTTCCCCTGTGTGGTGTGAATGGCATTATCCGCGCGTGTGGTGCTGCGGTTCGTTTGCTTGCTAGCATGGTCGGCTACGTATGGTGCTAAAGAAGTACAACAAGCATACAAGGTTATGAGTTCAAACCCCGTTTGAGGGTTGTCTCGACTTATCATCTCGCTTTGTGGGAAGCCAACAGTTGTTATCCTTGCTCCTGTCATGGAATTGTAGAATTTCTATCACTGATAGAAATTCTACATTTCCATGTAGAGCACCCCATTGCTAGTTTAAACAGGAAGACACTTTGGCTTGGTGTGTCCAGGTGTGTGACAGGTACACAAAGCGGAGTGCAGGGTGTAATGTTAATGGTGTGCAGTGTGCATGGTATATAAATATACATAGGATTAGGTTCCAGCTGCATGATGAGTTCATTTAGGTGCTGTAAGTCAACAGTGCAGCATGGTGTCTTAAGGTCGAGGTGCATAGTGTGCAAGTACAGAGTGTGATGTGTATAAGGTGGAGTTTGGTGGTATGTTTTTCAAGTGCACTATGATCTAAGCAACTGGAGGTCAATTCCTCTCCATGACATACAATGAATGATACATCCTGCATAAAATGTTGTAATTAAAGGCAAAGCATTACTTTGTTGTGGGCCAAAATAAAAATATTCCTACTCTTTGGTTCTGTCGGTAAAGTCACGTAGAAAGAAAATAAATTAAATAATAGAATACGACGTTTTGATTGCAACACAAGCAGTCGTCATCAGGTAGTATTACATTTGAGAGAGAGACAAAACACAGACACGGAGACACACAGACAGACACACAAGCAGAGAGAGACAACACAGAGACACAGAGAGAGAGAGACACACAACACACAGTTGTGCCCGACAGGTCTGTTCCTTTCACCTGAAGACGGCCGCTTGCGTTGTGGCCGAAACGTCGTGAGAATTTTATTGTGTTATTTTATTATTTTATTCTCATTCTACGTGACTTTACCGAAAGAACCAAAGAAGATGAATCCTTGCAGTCACGAAAGCTTTAAATCGAAATAATAGTCCTGTTGGTGTTAACTTTTGATTTCGCTGTACAATTCGTATACCACATTTGAAAACTATTACTGAAATAACCAAGGTAAGTAACAATGTCTTGTTTCGTATTTTGTATGTGGGTGGTGGTAAAATAAGTAAAGGGAAGGAATTGATTATCCAAAAAGGGCCCTCCAATTGTAACACAATCCTGGGCCCCCAATAACCGTGACACGGCGCTGACTATGCGAGTGTAAAGTGTCGCGCTCTGCGTGGTGGTCTCACCTGCTGGGAGTTGGCGATGGTGTGCAGGGTGCGGGCAACCTCCTGGAAGTCTGGGCGGCGCTGGGGGTTCCCCTCCCAACAGCGCATCATCAGGTCGTACCTGAACGGCAGGGAGACAACGTTGAGGTCCCCACGTGCACAAGAGAGCTCGTCACAGCCAGAAGATTCCCAAGCACGCAAGTGGCATCCTCATATGCTGTGAACATCGTGGGGCGACTGCTCCCGTGTCCTTCCGGCAATCAGTCACCAAACCATTGCATGGCTTTTGATTAATACCCCAGGTAAACTAAACACACACAACCTTGGCTAATGTTGTGACACATTCCATATACCACAGCCGTTGTTCACCAACAAGTGGCGGTGTGATACCAACAAATTGCGAGCATACACAAGAGCACCTGTGCTATCAACGCACTTGTCACTTGGAACTTTGCGCTCCATCATCATCATCAACTCCCCAAGCCAGTCCTGTGATGTAATGCTCCACCCAGCACCTGCACATGAGCTGATTTCATCGCTCCATCTCCACGGTGGATGTCCTCTCTGACGAGATCCCTACCCTTGCCTCTTACTTCATTGTTAGTCTTGACCACCAGCCACTGTCCCTTATAACACGTGCCTACTGTGTTCTCTGCTCCATGCAGCTACTGAAACTTTATTTACGTGCACCAGCAGCACATTTGGGTCACCGCTCCGGCCTATAATGTAATGGTGCTCAGCTGCATCACTTTAACTGCATCTCAGGTCTCCACATGCAGACACACAGGCAAAAGAATGCCCATGCACACACACACACGCGCGTGCACACGTACATGGCAAGGCTGCAGTGTGGTGGTCGGGCCAGGCGGTGTCCCTGCAACAACCGCGTGCCCAGCATCACGTGGCACGTAATGTTCGCATACGGAGTGTAGGCTGTGTGAAGAGAGAGAGAAAGAGAATCACAACCACCATCACTATAATCATGAGCAACAGCGCTGTCAACAGCGCCGTCATCATCAATGTCACCAACACATCATCAGCAGCGCTGTCACCGACATCATCGCCATCATCATACTAACATCACCAGCAACAGCACAATTGTCAACATCACCACCGGTGGCAACAGTATTCTTGTCATATACATCACCAGAGCAGTGCTGTCCACGACATCACCATATTCAATAGAAGTATTTGCCAACATTGCCTTCATCATCCTGACTCTCACCATCACCAGCAATGCCGTGACGAAGCCAATAGAGAGTGTGCCATGTGCATGGGGCAGTTGTGTGCGCGACGGTGCGTACCAAAGCTGACGAGCTCCCACAGCAGCACTCCGTAGGCCCACACGTCGCCCGCACGCGTGTAGCTACGCGATGAGAAGTACTCCGGTGGGTACCAGCGGAATGGCACCCGAGCCTGCCGTACGTGCACACAGCACACGTTCACGTAAGCACACACACAAACGTATGCACGTTCAACTTTTTTCGCACCGTATTTAGCCAACCGTACTTATCAAAGGTGATGTGTGACTGTTCGTTGCACTCGCTTAAACACACACAGCATATGTCTGAGGCCTACACTTTCACTTCAAAATATCGCACTATGATATGTGCATCTGCGGGGTGTATCCTGGTAAATGCTTTGACAGCCCATGTTTATATTTGTTTGAGACTACCCACACTGTTTTCATTGAAGCCACGTGACCAATTACCTCTAGTGGCTTGTATTGTATCATCTTCCCGCAGGTAACTTTCACATCGAAATGTAATAATGAACTTTCTTCATTCACTTAATAATACACCGACTCGTCATGAGACCTCCTTTGCCAGTAGCAAAATATGATAATAGGGTTTTACCCTTTTATCTGGCAACAAAACTGACACCTTTTTTTTACAAGGGATCATGTTTGCATTAACCACAATACTTGCGGTCAAAATGCAAACAAAAAAACAGCACTCTGATAATGTATGGTGCATTGTCCTTGAAATTGATTGGTCCACACCAGAGACAGCTTTTCTTAGAGCCCAGTCTCACATGGTGTCCGACCAGATGACGCCAAAAGGCGCACAACTCAAAGATAACGCACCATCAGAGTATTGAGAGCTCGGGGTAAGCATTTACATCATGAGACCTCCTTTTCCAGTAGCAAAATATGATAATAGGTTTTTACCCTTTTATCTGGCAACAAAACTGACACCTTTTTTTACAAGGGAACATGTTTGCATTAACCACAATCCTTGAGGTCAAAATGCAAACAAAAAACAGCATATAATACACCTACTCGTACGTTTATTCTATTTAGTTCTCCTTCTCTCTTGGCCTTTCCTTAACCTTATTATTACAAGGTGCCTTGAAACATTAGTGAAAGGTGCCTTACAAATAAATGTAAATTATTAGTATGTCTTAACCCACTCATAATTTCTGGACAGGGATCTTTTTGTGTTCTAGTGCTTTCCAAGGGACACCTCACATAAAAATTAGTACAGTACAGCCAGAGGTGGTGGTGTAAAAAATAACACCATTCTCCAAGGCTGCAGTTGACACAGATACAGATGCTAAACATATTTATTATATGGATTCTGAATAAACACAACCAAAGATTCATATTCTTGGTTCTTTCAGTAAAGTCACTTTACCAAAAGCACCAAGAATATGAATCCCTGCAGTCACGAAAGCTTTAAATCAAAATTTTACAACCAAAGATATTGAGCAAGTACATAACAGACAGTGGGTAAATACATGGCAGACACTGACAGACACTGAGCAAGCACATGGCAGGCACTGAGCAAGCACGTGACAGACACTGAGCAAGCACGTGACAGGCACTGAGCAAGCACGTGACAGGCACTGAGCAAGCACGTGACATGCACTGAGCAAGCACGTGACAGACACTGAGCAAGCACATGGCAGGCACTGAGCAAGCACGTGACAGACACTGAGCAAGCACGTGACAGGCACTGAGCAAGCACGTGACAGGCACTGAGCAAGCACGTGACATGCACTGAGCAAGCACGTGACAGACACTGAGCAAGCACGTGACAGACACTGAGCAAGCACGTGACAGACACTGAGCAAGCACGTGACAGACACTGAGCAAGCACGTGACAGACATTGACAGACACCGAGCAAACACATGACACTGACAGACAACCAAAAAAGCACGTGACAGACAAGACGTGGTGCAGGCAAACCTGCGCGTGGATGTGCTCGGGCTCGTCCTCAAGGCGTGCGAGCCCGAAGTCGGACACCTTGCACTGTGCGAGGCTCTGTCCGATCAGAATGTTCCGCGTGGCCACGTCTCCATGCACCAGCTGCACAACACAAAGCACACACGTCACGCATCTTGCCTGCTTGCCATGGGCCAGAGTGCTCGACCTACTAGCGACACGATGCAATTTCAAATCTTAGTTGGCCACTGGCTAAGCCCTTCATCTCTTCAGCATCAATACACCCCCTTCCTGAACGTCTTCAGTCACGAGAGCATTACACTTCGGAAGATAATTATTCCAATGTATGACACTGCAAACTGCTGCTAGGGACACTTCATATTGTCTCCAGGCTTCTCTTGTACCTCTACCACCCTCTTTTCAATCCACCAATGGATAAGGGCCTCCGTACTTTGTATGGGTCGTGGAAGCTATTCGACTGTACTTCATCAGCTTGACTCTTTGGTTCTTTCGGTAAAGTCACGTAGTCACATAGGTATAAAAATAAAATATAAAATAATATATCACGACGTTTCGATCGCAACACAAAAGGTCGTCCTCAGGCGGAAAAAATAATCCAGCAGTGGAACTGCTGAACCAGCGAAAGAGCTGTTACAACAAGAGGTTATAGATGTGGCCATGGGCAAGCAAGCGGGGTCTGAGCTGGAAAGGAATTCCGTCCCCGGACACAAGCACGTCAGTTGTGTTAATGGGGGAGATTAAGGAGAGAGAGATTATGGAGAGAGATTAGCATTATACCTATGTGACTTTACCGAAAGAACCAAAGAGTATGGATTCCTGCAGTCACGAAAGCTTCAAATCAAGATTCATCATGCTGGTCAATTCGGCTTGGATATAGGCGGGAAGCAAAGGCATAGGATCACAGAAGTACAGGACAACAATGAATTTATTTTCTGCATTGCCCTCTGCCTCTCATCACATAGCACTGCGAGGCTATGTCACTTGTCTTTAGGTCTCAATGGGAACCAGAATCATCCGTTATTATTCGTACTGCGCCTCCCGTGCTGTATATCGTGGCGCCAGAGCAAAGGGTTACTTTAAATAATTACTCGGTAATTACATTGTTGCAGACCAAATACAATGTAAAAATAAAACATAATGTGTTTAGGCCATGTGAAAAAATAAATGTCATTAATTTTATATTAAAGATATGAATTTCGATTCCCGCTCATGGCCAAGACCAGTAAAGACTATCTAACCCGGTTTTGGGTCTCCCATAGGTCGACTCAGCCTTAAATGAGTACCTGGTGCAGTGTGTAAACATCGCTACTAGGGAGACAAAGGCGGCCGTGCGTGATGCTGGCCACCCACCGCCTTGTGCGTCATGCCGGCCTTTATAGGTGCTCGCTAGCAGCACTTGCCCCAACAGTCTATCAAAAGCCATCCGGGCGATCTTTGTGTTTGTGGTGGGCACGTTAGGGCGCATGCATGTAACACTCACACGCTGTCTGGTGAGGTGGGCCATCCCGTGCGCCACCCCGCGTGCGATCAGCGCGAAATCCTGTCCACTCAGACCCGAGCCTCTGCCGGCCCTGGCCCAGCTGCCAGCGGCGTAGGCAGCCTGGCCCGGCCTCGACGTTACGTGACCCCGGCACTCACGCAGGAACGTCTGCAGGTTGCCACCGGGAGCCAGCTCCAGAATGGCCATGGGAAAACCTGAAACGCAGTGACATGTCGAAGTGACGAGGTTATCGACGGGATGCCGCTCATCTCCATTGGTGGCCCTGGACAAATTGATGAAAATTCTTAATTCCTATGGGGAGAGCCAGTGGGTGGCAGTCAGCACAGGGCAGTACAGCAACATTCGGTGTTGTACTGTACTTCTGTGGTCCCATGTCTATGTTGCCCACCTGCATCAACCCGCACTGACCAGTGTGGTGAAATGTGGTGGACGTGTCGATGTGTGGGCAGCGGGAGCGTTGTAGTCAGCGCACTGAGCTTCAATTAGGGTGATTTTAATTCGATTCCCGACCACAGCTAAAATTAGTAGCTTATATTACAACCAGTCGTGGGCCTACCATTGGTCGACGAAGCCTAAAATTTGTATCTTGTGCGGTGTGTAAACATCAATATCGGGGAAACAAAGCCAGACGGGTAACGTCCAGACCACAATGCCCCCGCGTGCACAACTCTGTCCTTCACAGCCGCTCGCTGATGGCACTTTCCCCGACCGTCTGCTAAAGGCTCTTTGTGGAATATTTGTGTTTGCGTGGGCACTCCCCTACCGTTGGGTGCCTTGCTGTAGCCCAGGCAGGCGAGGACGTTCTGGTGCGTGCCCGCGTGCAGCATCACCCGCACCTCCCGCTCAAACCGCTGCCACCGCTCTGCGCGTGACTGCTCGCCCTCGTCTAAGATCGGGCGGTTTGGGCACAACAAACGGGGACAGGGATTAGTAAGCGGGCGAGGGCAGGGCACGTCGCTCGAAGAGACAGTGGCCGGCGACCATATGGGACGACAGAGCGGCGGTCGAAGGGGGGAACACGCCGTGGGCTGCTGGGTCGCGCACCGAGTGGCATTTTGACGGCGACGCGTGTCTGTCCGCACAGGCTGCCATCCTTCACGTGCCCCTCGAGCACCAGGCCGAACTCTCCCGAGCCCAGCGAGTGGCCGAGAGTCAGGCGGTGAGCAGGAATCAGCAAGTCTGCGCTCGCACACGGTGCCGCACGCAGCCAGCGCATCGTTCGGTTAAACACGACGGTGGTTAGCAGTAGAGAGCACTAATCCTGCGTCATTGCTCCGTTAACAGAGCATAACTAAATTACTGCGACTTGGCGTACACGAGATGATTGCTTGTTATTATTGCTTAAATTACTTCTTTTATTGAAACAAATAATAAAAAAGCTATTTTACTGTAAGAGTGGGTAATGATGATTATGTCAGCAGCTTGGGTTAATGTGTGAACGTGCGAGTGTGTCTTTGCAGCGGTGTGGACTGACCCCGCTCCGGGTCGGCGAGGTCACGAGGTGCGTGAACCCCCTCCATCGGCACTCCCCCCACCACCGTGAGGCTGTGGTTCCCTCCCAGCAGCCTCAGCGCCTCTGCCACCTTCTTCTGCCTGGGCTGCAGCACCTGTGGACATCAGCGCGCTCCGTGAGCTTGGTAACAAGCCGTGCCGCACGGCCAGGGTCGCTTCCTCTTGGTACAACAGACTGGCACTCATCACGGGAGACGAATAGCTCACAGTGCCGGAGGAGGGGAGAACCGACTGTAAATACATTGTCGTGAGGGATGTATTAATCACACAACTGATGATAACCAGGAATTTTAATGTCCCGAGAAGACTTTTAGATTTCCCAGGACAGCTACCACGAAGAGATGTTCCTGGGAAAACCAGAACAAGTTGCAACCCTACATCGGATAGGGTTCTTCAACCATATTTATGAAAATGTAACGGAGATGAATTTATATGTAACTGATAAAAATGTATAAATAAGTATCTGTTATTTATAGATTGGTCTCATTGATTAGTATGGACCATTGACTGGTCTTATTGCTTGGTGTGGACCCGAGTATCATTTGAAGGGATCTCAGAGGTAGCTCTGTGATATCCACTTCCGTGGGCCATTCTCCGACAGAAAGGGTTGCACTGCTCTGCCAGAGATCTGAAAGGATGGCTCATATTGTGACGTCACGCTGATGGCACAATCCGGGTAAAAACAAAGATAACAGAGTACTGAACAACATAAATCGTATTACGTGTTTAAAACTAAATAACATCATGCAGGATTACAAGTACCTGAGTACTGAACAACATGAATCGTATTACGTGTTTAAAACTAAATAACAGTATGCAGGATTACAAGTACCTGCCTTGGCAATTTGACAGGCACATTACTCACCAGCAATGCCCACAGTGGGTCAGAGACATGCCCTCTCAGTCCCTTTGGCGGCGAGCGATGACTGCCCAAGCTACAGAGAGAGGCTTGGACGTGGCCGTACCTTCTTGAAGACTGCAAAAGCGGCGCACGCGATCCACGTGATGGCAAGCGCAAGGCCGACGGCGAGGAGGGAGAACTTCATGACGCTGCTGGTGGCTGGGCCTTGCATCTCCGGCGCCACCGCTTCAGCCCTCGTTGTGTTGCGGCCATCCTGGACGGGCAGCGGGGACCTCGCGGTCGACTCCGGGCCTGGCGTCGTCATTTGTCTCTCTGTGGATGGGGGTTTAGGACGTTGGCATCAGCACTCTCTATGAATACAGTACATTATAATCAGAATCTTGGTTGCGGGTTGACTTGGCCTATCATCCCTCCAAGGTGGATACAATAAGTACCATTTCCTGGGGAGGCCATTTAAGCGGCATATATATGCAAAGATTATTTTTTTCTATAAAGCCACCTCTTAGGATGCATCTGTAATGTAGTACAAATACACGAGGTGAGCTGAGAATCTGCTATTACTATTATACAAATACTTGATCAATTTGTCGTAATGATAATCAAATTTGTGATTTGTTTAACATTTATATTGCCTTATTACACATTGCTTTGTGTTCAACTACATGTGGAATAATTTGTGTTGTGTTTGTAAATTCGTGTACATTTCATTTCATGCCAAGTGCTCTTGAGACACCTTTGTTGACGTGAAACGTGCAACACTGTACGGACATTGACTAATGTCAAACAAGTAGCAGAGTCCACTTGCGTCTCCGCTCTTACGCTCAGTAACAAGTATTCTGTTAAAACTCAATTGAGGACCAGGAAAGTCTCAGACATTCCGCTTTCCGCAAAAGTGCAAGAGCTGCAAGATCAAACCCAGGTTTCCTGTATTGTCGCCCAGCGTGCTAATTTGCGCTTCTCAGCTATGAAAACCCCAGCACAAAACATTGTGTTCTGACCTATGACGGTTAGCAGGGTGGTGGTGGACTGGAAGGAATCGTTAATGTCGATCTGGCAGGTGTAACATCCGGCGTGCGTGAGCGACACGTTGGGGATCGTCAGCACGCGCCACTTTGTCCACGGTTGTGTGGCCAGGTTCTTGAGGTGAGGCCAGTCGATCGTCACGTCATCTTTCCTTGCGTAGAGGAGCCGCTTACCGTCCTGCACGCACGCACGCACGCATTCACAAATACGCGTCGCATCACGCACAGTTTCGCTGAGGTGCAGCAACAACAACAACTGGGATGAGGAATATCTCACAAAAAACGACAGAGGGGAGAACTGCGTGTAAATGCATTGCCTTGAGTGGTGCATTATTATTATTATTGCATTTATGCAACTGACAAAGAGGAGTGATCCAGGGAAAAGCAGGACAGGTGGTGACTCCCGCTGTACCGCAGTGGGACTGGACGTGTCGCTGCGTGGGGAGGTGTGCGGTGCATGTCGAGTGGTGCTCACAATGCACCCCATCCTATCAAATCTCAGAAGCTAAGCAGGCGTGAGCCTGGACGGTGCTTAGATGGGCAACCACCATACATAAAGGGTGTTATGGGCTGTGGAGATCTGTTCTTTGACAGCACAGGGGCAGAGCAGCAACACCCATTGTTGTACTGTATTTATATGCTCATACGTCTATGCTGCACACCTTCACCAATGCACAAACACCAGCATGATCAAGTATGTTTAGAGAAGTGCCACAGCCTGCACGGCGTGGGGATGTCCTCATCCAGCAGTGGATTGACAAAGGGCTGTGTACTTATACTGTCGTTCTGTGCGGCATCATGCAGAACTGTGAACTATAACAAAACGGTATTTCATAACATAACGGTATTTTGTTTTATAGTGTCGCTGCTGTGGTATTGGTGCCTAAATGTGTTGAAAGACTACGCTGGAGGATAACTCTCACGAAGCAGCTCCAGCACGTGGAGCGAAACGTCGGACATCATTCTGAGCAAAAACGCTGTTACAAATTCTCAAAACACACTATGGGAGAGCTGAACAGCACAAGCACGAGAACCGACACGGTGACACCGGTGGGGTGAGCTGTGGTGTGGGGAGCGGTGGTGGGGTGAGCGGTGGTGGGGTGAGGAGCGGTGGTGTGGTGAGCGGTGGTGGGGTGAGCGGTGGTGTGGTGAGCGGTGGTGTGGGGAGCGGTGGTGTGGGGAGTGGTGGTGTCGGGAGCGGTGGTGGGGTGAGCGGTGGTGGGGTGAGCGGTGGTGTGGGGAGCAGTGGTGTGGGGAGCGGTGGTGCAGCGGTGGTGTGGGGAGCGGTGGTGCAGCGGTGCGCTGCTTCGCTGCACTCTGAACCCGAAGGCTCGAGGAGTTCGATCCCCGCTCACGGCCAACACCGGTGACGATTATATATCTGAGCCGATCCTGGGCCTGCTCCCCTAGGTCAACTCGGTCTCCAATGAGTGCCCGGTGCGATGTTAAAAACATCGCCCACTGGGGAGACAAAGGCGGCTGGGCGTGGTGCTGGTCGCCCCCCCCCCCCCCTTCGCGTGCTGTTCCGGCAACAGCACTTGCCTCAACACTCTGTTAAGCCTATACTGGGGGGGTGGATCTTTGTCTTTTTATTTCGTGTGGCGGCTGAGTGTGATGCAGGAGCAGTTAATGGCTGTGTCAGATCAAACGAACTGGCGCTGCTGAGATCCAGGGATCGATACCTGGCAGATCGTCGATTATCGCACCAAGTTGTCATGCGTGGCGGATTTGATGGCCTCAGCCAAGGCTGGCAGCATCGGGTTTTTTTCCATCGGGTTTTTCATGGTTTTAATTTTAAAAAACCCGATCATCTCAGATGGCCAAAAATCCGGTTTTATTCGATTTTTTTTCCTGTTAATCCCTATAATTATATCCCCCACCAAAGAGAAGACAAACTACAACACGTTCCGCTGCAAGATGAAAGTCAAAGGTCGCAAGACGCCGATGGAGTCTTGGCCGTCCGATGGCAGTGAGTGCCCGTTGAGCTGTCCAGCATCGCCACGTCCAGTGTCGCATCCGAGAGGAACTTCTTCTCCACCACGGCCTTCGTTCACTCCGAGCTGAGGAGCGGCCCGAGCGTGAAGTCGGTGGAGAAGGTCGTCGTCTTCATCAAGGGCAACATTCACACGCCTTCTTCGACAGCGCGGTTGAGATCATCGAAGAGGACAGCGAATCCGATGACTCTGGCGCCGATTGACGACAACTTGACTCGACGGATTAAAACCATTGTGGTTTTTTTTTCGACAAAATAGTTTTTTTTTATATATATAAACCCGATAAAATTTGCACACAAAAAATCGGGTTTTTTCCACCGTTGGCCTCAGCCTGCGCGTCGACGACTGACGACTACATGCTGTGTGGTCATGGCGTGTACGCATGTAGAACTTCTTTCACACCGTACCTATCCAACCGTGCTGATCGGAGGTGCGGGGGAAGGATAATTAAACACAAAAACAAAAATGTTCTAAAGAAATTCGTTTTCCGCCTAGACTTAAAAGTGTAAATGTAGCTCCAGTGGCTTCCTAATAACGGAAGAGCATTGCAGACCGGAGTTTGCGTGATGGTTTGTGATCCTGGACGAGATCACCCAGACGTTTTGGTTCATTTGTGCCAATCACTTTGTGTGTAATGCATTTGTTCGGCAAACGGAAACCAATGCAGCTCGGCGAGCACTGGACGGACACGGTGCCAGAGAGTGTAGTACACACTGCAGCGTTAGTGTTCCATGTGGTGTGTGTGTGTGGTGTGGTATGTGGCGGTGTGTGTTGGCTGGCAGTGGGTGTAATGCTGCGTGTTGTATATCCTGCGGCATGTGGTGTGTAATGAGTCGCGTCCATATGTATCACCTTCAACCACTTCACATATTTAAATTCTGTTGCGTCCTTGCACATTAATTGGGCCGCTTCCCCGGCTTGTACTTGCGATGTCAGCCTGGTGCACGAAGCAGTCTCCAGCAGGATCACTGAGGGTCAGAACACAAAATCATCATCATGGTCGTCATTATCGTCATTACTCATTGGTTTTTTCGGTAAAGTCACGTATGTAGAAATACCATAAAATTATATTAAAATAAATCAATCACGACGTTTCGATCGCAACACAAGCGATCTTCATCAGGTGTAAAAAACAAATAGCGAGGGAGCATATAGGGTGACATCAACGCAACACATAGAGAGCGTTAAACTGCACGGAGGTAAATACAACAAGAAGATGAGAGACGAGAATTCAACAAACCTAGTCAGGCCAACAACACAGACACTTGCCTGGCAGACCACGAATTTCAGAAGAGTGCTAAATTTCGTGTTCATCCTCTGGATTGAACATACCAGCATAGACAGAGTGAACAAATACGAGGTACAAGTCAGCAGAAATACATATACAGGGACACCAAGAGGCAAGGAGAGGAAAGACGGACAGAGAAGCGAGGAAAAAGAAAAAGGGCCGGAGGGATGAACAGACAGAGGCCTTAAATAAGAAGTAGAGGTGGTGGGTGCAGTTTAACGCTCTCTATGTGTTGCGTTGATGTCGCCCTATATACTCCCTCGCTATTTGTTTTTTTACACCTGATGAAGATCGCTTGTGTTGCGGTCGAAACGTCGTGATTGATTTATTTTAATATAATTTTATGGTATTTATACATACGTGACTTTACCGAAAAAAACAATGAGTAATTTATGCAGTCACGAAAGCTTTAATTCTTTATCATCATCATTCTTATCGCTGTTCTCATCACCATCATCACAAAGCATGTCACGACCATCGATTCTAAAACAAACGTAACAAGTCGGTTTTGTCGTCATCATCATCATCAAAGTTGTTACAATCCCCACAACCATTATCACCATCACAATCACCACCATTCGCTTCCATTAAAAATATCTCCCATCCTGTAAAGTAGGCAATAATATAACTGCCATTATTTTCAACCACTTTTGATTTACCCTCTACGCTCCATTCTATTGTACTCTACAGTATTGGACACAGGTTTTGCTGGCTGGAGGGAGGGATGGACACTTCCAAAGGAGCAAGCGGGCTGCGAGTTTATTCATAAAATGAGAATGTAACACTGTAGGCTATATTCGTAATGTATAGAAAAAGGCAGATGAATGGCCATTGTTACATGTTGCTGGATAGAACATTTTATAATTGTTGTGTCTGGAAAATAACGCCATTTGTAATATAAAATGTTGGTATGTTTTGTGATCATAAAACCATTGCCAACAAAGCCTTTGAAATGTAAACGTCTAAATAATAGCAACATATTCTGTGGTTCTTTCGGTAAAGTTACGTAGGTAGAAAAAATAATGCAAATGAAAAGAAAGTGAATACAAATATCACGACGTTTCGATCGCAACATAAGCGGTCGTCATAATTTTATTCACTTTATTTTCATTTTTATTTTGTTATATTTTTTTCTTCTATCTAGGTGACTTTACCTAAAGAACTATAGAATATGAATTTCTGCAGTCACGAAAGTTTTAAGTCAAAATATAATTGCAACAGTTTGGGGAGGCCTTTATACAGTAGTGGATAGATAATGGATTATGATTATTATAATATAAATAATCTAAGTTGCTACAGTTTTCAATGAGCATTGTGGTGCTGATCGTTTGTGTTTCTAACCCCGAGCCACTGCTGGAAACTCGACATTGCCACGAAGTGGTCATTCAACTCTACATGACAAATATGAACGACTTCCCACTAATTGGTCATTATTGTATTGACCCTGACTGGATGATGAGCTGAATTAATCCACAATGAGAAACACACATCTGTTTTGCATATACACATACAGTACATGCATACACCTGCGAATAACGTTAAACTCACCAAGGTTTCATATGCCATACATGCAAATTATACTTCCATATTAATATAGCAAAACAACTCTACAGCGTGACCATGTTTAAAGTGGTTCAAACTAACGCTGAGGGGTTTCATGACACAGTCAATGTTAAACAAACTTTCATCATCATCACGATCCATGGGCAGATAGTCCGTAGGTGTCCACTGCTTACTTCATTATTTGTTTCCACTTTCCTCTGTCTTGTAGTGCCCTTTCTGATTCTAAAACCCTTTCTGATGCTCAAGTAGTGCCACATCATTCTGTCACCAATTTCTTATGTGGTCATCAAGCCTTTCTCTCTTCGGTCTTCCTCTCTTTCCAGTCCCATTCCTTGTTTATGACCAACACTCTTCATTGTCGTGTTGTTGTTCATCCTACATGTGTCCATATAGTGCCAGTTTCCTTATCATCACTGCCCGCATCCATCAGGTCTCCTTCTACGTGCAACAATTTCTTACTTCTACATTGGTCACGCTTTGGTCCCAGCTTAGATGCAGCATCCTTCTGCAGCAATACATTTGATCCCTATCAGTCTTTTTAATGTGCAAGTCTCGCAGGCATACAAAGCTGTACTGAACATGCATGTTTTAAGACAGTCAGTTTGGTCTTGTGGCTCACTTGCTTGCTTCTCCAGACGTCACTTTAAACAAATGTTAAGAATTTGGAAGGGGGTGCTGAGGCCTCATCAGTGAGGGGTTCAACCATTTATCCAGCCCCCCCCTCAACCCTACAGGACTGTTGCAACATTATAATATTATATGAAAAATAAGTATAGGTTTTACCCGTTCTAGCAATAAAACAATTGGTTAAGATGCTCAAACACCAAATATATACCTTTTGCAATGAATAAAGTCTGCATTAAGTCTGTATTCACCACACGTACTTGCGGTGAACATGCAAACAAACTCTGATAATTAATGTTATAACATTTTGATTTAAAGCTTTCGTGACTGCAGTAATTCATATTCTTAGTTTTTTCGGTAAAGTCACGTGACTTTACCGAAAAAACTAAGAATATGTTATAACATGATAATCCTTGCTGACTTTGCGCTGCTCAACAATGTCACAATAGTGTACTTCAGAGGGATACATGTAACTGGCTCTTAGAGGTGTCTGGCCCCAGCAAGATGTCAGGAATTGATAATTCTGCAGTTTTTTGTTTGGCAAGTGACCAAATATGGTGATGAAACTGCTACCAGAATAAGTTGTTAAAAAAAAGCATATTTAAGCGGGAATAAAAAAAAATGAGTAGCTGCATTTGATTCATGTCAACGCAATGCACTAGTGAGTTGTTGAATCCACTCTCCCAAAGCACAATAATCATCATAGCATATAAAAGGTTCATTTATCCTCAATCCAGAACATTTGCCATTTTAGTTTAAATTAATGGAGGGCGCACCTATGTGTAAGCAAAGTCTGCAAAATAATACATCACATGCAAAAAAACACAAACCGTTGTTTTAGCAGCACGAAAAGAACACAAATATATAATGTAGCCTAAAAGTAAACCTCGGTAAGGGTGATTTCAACGTTCGAATGTATTTTTGTCACAATGCGATGTAACACTGGCGTGAACAGCACCCGTTAGCTTACGAGTGTTTGTCAAAGTGTGCTGTTAAATCATGCCACCAGCGTAGAATCCCTTCGGCATGCGACACCTTTAAACGGGCATTTCTGCCTTATGGGAAATGAATGTACAATTCACGTGGTGCCTGCTACACCAAGGCTAGATTCCGAGATTAAGACGTGGCGGGGCCACTGGTGTGTGTGTGTGTCCAGATGTATACAACACCTTTAGTAAATATCTGCCCTTCATTGACACTGAGTGAAACAGGAGCTAATGTTGTATTTCAGTTATTGTACCACTATCACTGACACCTGGCCTCTGAGCGTCCATAACAGCCAATAGCAGTTATCAAAAATGTCCACCTTCCGTTTTCAACCAGCCAAAGGCAAGGGAAAAGTGGTGCTACTTAAGAATTCTTGTGCTAGGGTTATTTGCATACACAACAGTATTTGACAATTTCCAAACAATCCCATTGGGTTAATGTTGTTCTGCATGCTTCAGTGCTATCGTGCCTGTCCGTGGTGTGAGCGTGTTTCTCTTTGGCAACGAACGGCATCTCCATTGGTGACTGAGTGAGTTTTATTAACTCCATTTTCCCGTGAACTCCCACAAAATTGTACTCGTTTTATTGACCCTGGAGGGATGATACACTGAGGGATGATAACCACGAATGGATATTTCACCTTGCGAACTGCTGACTGAGTCGAGCGCTCTAAACTCAGTGTCACTCAGCACTGTTAACGCCGTATATGTGAACACAATCATGCAGTGAATTCATACAATTGTGTATTCACAGTGGATAGCCTATATGTGGACTGGTTCCCACCATAGGAATGTGGAATTTTCACCACTGGCTCAGAGGCACAAACAGGGCGTGTAACATTGGATTTAAAACAAAAAAAATCAAAGTTTCACTCGTAGAATTTCTGATCATTTTATAGAGCCCAGTGTGGTAATGATCGTTTAATATCCTGTAGCATAGACTGTCATGAAAACGTTACATTTACACTGAAATAGATCGGAAATTAACAATGTACTGTAATGTACACGTCTGCTCCAGTGTTCACAACAATGTCAATAATACAAAACACACATCCTTAACTCGTGTTGCTTGCGAAGAAACATGCTTGTCGTAACATTTTTTTTAAATGACAAAATGCCAGAAAACAAATCAATAAAAATCGTCACCACTTGCCTTATTTAAATGTATTTATTGATCCTTGTGAATGTATCCATAGCAAATCGTCGTATGTCATTCAAATGAACCTGAAAACAGGTCCCTGCAGGGTGGGCTGGTAGGACAAGTCTCTGCGCTGTCTATTGCTGATTTTACACTCAACAGCACGAGATTTCACTTCGTTAAAGTATTGAAAGGGGACGGACGGACACATTAATCTATTGCAGGCTGGTACACTCAGTTTACAACTTCGTTCCTACCAGTAGTATAAGTTGGGGCATATTGGTATGGTATCCGATGACCAACACCGACTGTCGAACAGCACCGAGTCACCTCACCCAGCGAAATGTGAACTCGGAGGCGCGGATCTGCAGGGAGCCCCACGCCTCCACGCCTCCACGTGGCGCTCAAAGGTTGCGGTCCGTTCGCGAAATTGTGCATGCTCAAAGTTGTTCATTACGATACTACTACTATAGTAGTTGAATTGTTTTTTTGTTAACGTCTCATTGACAATAGCATACATGAGTATACGATCGGTATCCTCCACGTACTTTTTTTTTAAATAAAGTATGTTTGAACATTTTTCTTCAGCCACACGGCTTTCTTGTCAGGGAACAATTACAACCACGCTTCAACGCCGGTTTCGATATTCACTCTCTCTCTCCGGCAGTCAGGCATGACTGCACCACTGGTGTTTAAAGGCAAGGCACCTCTGTACTTTGTGCAGCAGGTCCTGAATGTGTAGATATGCCCATGTGCAGCACTTACCCGCCATAACGAAGCAAGTGGGAAACATGATGCCTTGGGAGAGTTGCTCAGACTCCGCTGTGTTTACCCGCTTCACCTGGCCTTCAGCGTGTTGCTGTCTCCGCGTTGGAAATCGGAGCGAAGCTCATAATGCGGGCTGCTTTGCGTGATGGGTGGGGTGTCGATCAGCGAGTGGGGAGGCTGGGCCGGCTAAAGGTGAGAGAGCATTGACGTCGCACGTCTGCGCCCGCAGATAAAGGTTGTTGCGGCCAGGGCTAAGCCTCGAGTCGAGTCGGGTTATCGCTGTTTAGCCGTGACGGAGTGGGATGAGACGGGAGTGGGTGGCGCATGCAGGCGAAGGATGGCCAACTGCGTAAACTGCACCGCATGTCACTTGGGAAAATGCACGTGCGACACAAATGGGTACGTGTAGCACAATGTGCCCAAGCGTGATGTGTGCGCGTACAGCCCTTATGTTGATCCACTGCTGGATGAGGGCTTCATCCTATGCCGTGCGAACATGGCTCGTGGGCGCTGCTGATGATGAATATAAATGTTACATTTATTTTATATTTAATGATGAAATACATACCTATATAGATTAAATAATTTTACTGACTTATTGTAACCGTGATTTTGTTTTCTCAACGTATTAAATGACAAATCAAATTATTGGATTCACTTAAAGGCACCGATGTGCTTTGAAAGAGTATTTTTTTCAGATTTATATGGATCGTTTATTTCCATTTGCTCCAGTTCTCTTTTATTTGTGATGTTTGATCCATGATTTGGCGATCTAGGTCGATGAACTATGCATTATTAAAGTGTATAACTTGTTTGTGCAATACAATTACCGTCGATGTTATTTATTTATCCTTAAATATTATTTTAGAAATGGTGTTAATGAGTTTATGTTAAACATAATAAAGGTTTTTGGGTTAGATCGCGTGAGTATAAATGTGTCGTCACCCTCCACCACCCAACACAGCCAGTAAGGTTTGTCACGTAGACAAAACGCCAACTTTAGCCCATCGGTGTGTTGGAGAGTAAATCCACAACACTTACAAGTTGAATATGACGTTTCGCTGGTAATTACATCCAGCATCATTGGGCGTGTTGAAATGAGTTTAGTTTAAACGGTAAAAATCGAGCACCAGGCAAATCTGGTTCAGATATCACCTCGCAATGAGCTCGCCATCACATAATCACTCCACGCCCCCTGCCAAATACAAGGCCTTAAATAATACTCTTATAACATCATTCTGATTTGCATTACACCTTCATGATCCATGTCCTCCTCCAACAACCTGTGGTTCAATTTTGATTTAAAGCTTTCGTGACTGCAGTGATTCATATTCTTGGTTCTTTCGGTAAAGTCACGTTGAAGGGAAACAATAAAATAATAAAATATATAACAATAAAATTCTCACGACGTTTCGACTGTAACACAAACAGTCATCATCAGGTGTGAAAACCAACGACAAGAACATTTGAAAGAAGTGGCGGTTTGTATTTATTTATTTTTAAACGTTAGCACCACGGATAGCGATTTGACAGTTTGTTTAGAAGGACGAGTCCATCTATGTTCGGAAAAGAGGGGGGGGGGGGGGAGACGAAAAATGTATGTATGCTGTCTGAAAGCCACCGTAAGCGTGAACAATCAATTAAGACCCGAAATGGTTTATCAAATCCTTCCAATGATTGCTAAGCCAGAATCCATCTTCTCGGTTGAAATTGTCTTTGTGTTTGTATATGTGGATAGCCTCATGAACGAATCTCTCATGGTAGCCCGATGGCTTGCAAAGAACCTCTGTCTTGGAGAAGTCAATGTCATGTGAGCCTACTGAATTATAACATTGGAGAAACCAAACGACATGTCTCGGACCGCATTCGTGAACACAAAGCAGACCTTAAACATGGTAGGACCAACACCTCGGCCGTGGCAGATCACTGTTATAATTCAGTAGGCTCACATGACATTGACTTCTCCAAGACAGAGGTTCTTTGCAAGCCATCGGGCTACCATGAGAGATTCGTTCATGAGGCTATCCACATATACAAACACAAAGACAATTTCAACCGAGAAGATGGATTCTGGCTTAGCAATCATTGGAAGGATTTGCTAAACCATTTCGGGTCTTAATTGATTGTTCACGCTTACGGTGGCTTTCAAACAGCATACATTAAATTTTCGTCTCCCCCCTCCTCTTTTCCGAACATAGATGGACTCGTCCTTCTAAACAAACTGTCAAATCGCTATCCGTGGTGCTAACGTTTAAAAACAAATAAATACAAACCGCCACTTCTTTCAAATGTTCTTGCCGTTGGTTTTCACACCTGATGATGACTGTTTGTGTTACAGTCGAAACGTCGTGAGAATTTTATTGTTTTATATATATTTTTTATTATTTTATTGTTTCCCTTCAACGTGACTTTACCGAAAGAACCAAGAATATGAACCTGTGGTTCCTCTATGACATAGCCTGTTATTTATTTAGATGTGCGTTCGAGGTCCAAATAGCATTGCGGTGTATTGTGAAAAACAAGAGGCATGGGCACAACAAGCAAACACAGAACACACACTCATGCACACCGTCTGCCCTCAAAAGCAAACTATATTTAGCAGCACAATCTGCTTTTCTGCATTCGTTTTGGTGAAATCACGTGGTCTCTGACCGCAGGGACGTCATTCGCCAGCTACTCACTCCTTCCATGAGACTTGTGACATCACAATGGCTGTGACCTCACTGCTTCTGCTGATTTACTCAAACCTTCCCCGTACCCCTCTCCACTCCAGCCCCTGACCAACTGCCCCCTCCCGCGCCCCCCCCCCCGCCCCCTCCTGCACATCTAGACGAGTTTTTAGTTTTTCAGCCGCATTTTGCGCACCGGAAAATTCTGTGAAATACAAAGTGCGAAGGCGGTAAATTGGTAAAGTCGATAGCTCTCGTTGGTTCAATGTCAAAACGATATCATTGCTCGAATCGGCATGGGCTGGTGGTCGTCTCCATAGGTGACCCTGCGACACTGGCTGAAGCTAAACATTCCATATGACAGCCACCTTTAACTTCACAACGCTGGTGTCCATTGCTCATTGTTGACTTTTCCCTTACATTCACTGCCAAAACATCCCAAAAGCAGAGAGGCTCTTGCCATAAATGTTAGCTTTCTGTATATTTTACTTTTAGTTAAATCGATGTGGGTTTTGCCATGTTTCTACACCTTGGCTAATGCAGTCCCCATATTTCAATTTCAAGATAAAGATAGTACCTGAGATTAAGCTGTTATATATGAACGATATTATGTTTTTATTTAAAGCTTTCGTGCCTGCAGGGATTCATATTCTTGGTTCTTTCGGTAAAGTCACGTAGAAGGGAAACAATGAAATAATACAAAATAATAAAAATATAAAACAATAAAATTCTCACTATTGTTTTATATTTTTATTATTTTATTGTTTCCCTTCTACGTGACTTTACCGAAAGAACCAAGCATATTTAATTATACGTGTAGAAAAGAGTAACTTCGTCCTTGTTTAGATCGCGTGAATATAAACGTTAAACCTGCCACCACGTGACAGCCAATGAGTCAGGTTTGTCACGTACACAAAACATGCCAATTCGTTACTAGTTCAGGACACCGGTGTGTTGAAGAGAAAACCCACAACACGAACTATCATGTGCATATAAAACTGATGCATAAAAAAAAGTTATTGCCATCCTTTCACATGGCAGTCAGCCTCTTTTTCGTTGCTCGACAGTAAGGTTTGGATGAGCTCGAGATCTGGAGGTGCCCACACGTCACCTCACCACAGTGATCTGCAAGTGAACATACTGCACAACGATCACGACACCGCTAAGGTGGCCAGAGAAAATAGTGGCTGCAAAAATAGAACCCAGTGGCTCTAGATTGCATCTACAGCTTGCTAGTCTCAGTGCAAAATGGCATCTTGTGAATTGCTAAGGCAAGCAAACTGGTTGATGCAGTAAGTGACACCATACAGGCTTATGGATGTTCAAAAAGCATAGTCGGTAGTTAAACCAACTTTTCTGCAGTTTGCCTCTCTAAAGGTATCTTCAAAAGGAGAGCCATACACTTTAAAGAAAAGAGTACAGGACAAAATACCAGTGAACGTCTCTATAGATTTCAGTTTGCAATGCAGAATAGATATAAATGTGTTACTTCAACTGGCATTAATCTACCCCCTGCATCGTTGGGTTTCCCTTCCCCCCCGTTCAATAGTGCCCCGCATTTATCATTGTTGTGCAGCAAACACACAATTTCCTGTTGTAGATAATTAGACAAGTGATTTTTGCGTAGGCAGCCGGCTTGTTCGTGATACGGATAATGTTAGCTGTGACTGTGGATTCTAAACCAGGCTGCCAGAATGAGACATCTTACTGCAACAAAAAAATATTTACAGGAGTAATGCACCAAAACTAACAATAAAGCATTGGATTTCATGCATGCGGCACCTGTAAAACACGTTGATGTTGATGCGTGTTGCTTTTCATTAAAGAGCTCAGTTTTCTAGAACATAAAACAGCAATGTGCTCTTATTAAAGTCTTTGTTTTGCATATGATACTGATATTTTTTTGATAACTTTGCAACCAACAATCACTACTCTCGTAAAGATATCTACCAACTGTAGTATTAAGGTGTGATGTTTATCAAAGAGAAAATAACTCAACACATCCGTCAATAACGCTGCCATGAACGAATGTGTTGGGTTATGTTACTTGTGCTTGTACACCATTGCGCAGGATCACTATATAATTAGTTTAAATTTGATCAAAGGGTTGTCCAAACCTTGGAGATACAAACCAGCACCAAAATAACGATTTGCAATGATGTTTTTCCTTGAAAAAATAAGCATAGGTTTTACCCTTATTTTTTTCTTATTTTTTCATGCTTTGATACTGGCAAAAAGATCCCATTTTATGTTTTGTCTTGGCAGCTAATTTCCAGCTGCCTACTGCAAATTCATTACTTCCAAAGGCAAACAAATATATACGCGTGGTGTGTGTTAAACAACAACCAGTAAGCCCGAAACCATTTTCAAAATCGATTATCGGTTCCGAAAATCAGGAATAAGTCATAGTTTTCATTGGAATCTTACTAATGAATGCACCGATTGGCACGAGTGAACTTGCAAATGGTATGGCGACAGGCCAAAGTCACTACGTGGTACATTTGCCCTTCTTTCAAGTTAATAGGCAAAGATGCAACTCTGTAATTGCTCGCTTATGTCACTGCTAGTGGAAGAGCCTATCGGCAACTCGAGACGGTATTTAGTATTAACATGGAGGAGGAGTCCTGCATACTGATAAGACGTCTTGGGAGAGGTGGGCGTACCCACACTTCACATTACCACACGCGACCTGCCGTCGTGGACCCATTTATACCTCTGAGTGAACAGAGAGACACCGTTATACTTCTGAGTGGACAGAGAGACACCGTTATACTTCTGAGTGGACAGAGAGACACCGTTATACCTCTGAGTGAACAGAGAGACACCGTTATACCTCTGAGTGAACAGAGAGACACCGTTATACTTCTGAGTGGACAGAGAGACACCGTTATACTTCTGAGTGGACAGAGAGACACCGTTATACTTCTGAGTGGACAGAGATACACCGTTATACTTCTGAGTGGACAGAGAGACACCGTTACACTTCTGAGTGGTTAGAGAGACACCGTTATACTTTTGAGTGGACAGAGAGACACCGTTACACTTCTGAGTGGACAGAGAGACACCGTTATACCTCTGAGTGGACAGAGAGACACCGTTATACTTCTGAGTGGACAGAGAGACACCGTTACACTTCTGAGTGGTTAGAGAGACACCGTTATGCTTCTGAGTAGACAGAGAGACACCATTACACTTCTGAGTGGTTAGAGAGACACCGTTACACTTCTGAGTGGTTAGAGAGACACCGTTATGCTTCTGAGTAGACAGAGAGACACCGTTACACTTCTGAGTGGACAGAG